TCTCACTGATGTATGCACTACCTTCCACTCATAAATTCGTCAAGGTCTTCTCCCTCAGTGCAGCTTTTCTCTGGTTTCTCCCCCAAATCTTCTAGAGCTGTACTCAGGGCTACACTGATAAATGGCAACCAGCTCTCCAGCAACTACAAAGTGCATAGGACACATTTTTAAGTTTAATCCGTATTAACACTGTATCCATTATTTCCTTAAATCTAGAGTGATAATCAGCAAAAACAATAAGTCAGGCCCTGATTTATAGTTTGCCCATTTCTGTGGTGAAAATGCTCACACTAAAAATTTAACAATCGGTCAGCTCCTCCAAGAAGTTTAGAGAAGGTTATGTGCCTTCTTCTAGGTCTCTTGACATGGTTTGGAGACTTAATGGAGCCCACAGACTGCTTCTGGTCCCGTTCCTGTGTGATCATGTGATATGGGACTCAAGAAATCATTTTGTTAATAATAATAATATCTGACATTTATATAGCACATTAGGTTTCGCAAAGTACTTTGCAAGTATTATCTGATTTGATCCTCACAATAACCCTTGGAGGCAACTGCTATTGTTTTCCTTTTTTACAGTTGAGGAAACTGTCAGACAGCGGTCAAGTGACTTGTCCAGGGTCATACAGATAGAAAGTATCTGAGACCAGATTTGAACTCAGGTCCTCTTGAGTCTAAGTCTAATGCCTTACCTATTGGAGCACCTACTTGCCTAGTCCCCTCATTTTACAGATAAGGAAAAAGGCCTAGAGAGATTAGATGGTTTACCCAGATTCCCAAAGATGTCAGTAGCTGAAACAGAACTCACACAGAATCTTAGAAATGAAAAGGTCCTTAAAGACATCTTGTCTCACTGGTCCTTGAACAGAAACCACCTTTTTTTTTTTTTTGGTTAGGCAATGGGGTTAAGTGACTTGCCCAGGGTCGGTCACAGAGCTAGTAAGTGTTATATGTCTGAGGCCAGATTTGAACTCAGGTCCTCCTGAATCCAGGGCCAGTGCTCTATCCATCTAGCTGGCCCCCCTTTTTTTTGAGATTAGTCTTCCTATTCACCCAGGCTAGAAGTGCAGAAGCCACTCACAAGGATCTCACTGCTGACTGACAAGGAGGAGGCTTTAACCTACTTTTTTGGTTTTTGTTTTGTTTTTTGGCCAGGCAGTTGGGGTTAAGTGACTTGCCCAGGGTCACACAGTTTGTATGAAGTGTCTGAGGCCGAATTTGAACTCAGGTCCTCCTGACTCCAGAGCCAGCGCTCTATCTACTGTGCCACCTAGCTGCCCAAGAAATCACTTCTACAACACTGACATAACATGGCCATTCAGCCTCTGCCTTATACAGACTCAATAATGGAGAACCCACTATCTTTATTTCATCTCCAACCTCCAAGCTTTTGCATAACCGGTACCTCTTACCTGGATTCCTTTTACCTCCCTTCTGCTTCTTAGAACCCTTAATTTCCTTCAACTAGTCAACAAGCATTGATTATGCACTTGTTATGTACCAAGAACTGTTCTAAACTCAGAAGCTACTAAAAATGGCAACAACAGTCCCTGATCTCAAGGAGCTCTCATTTTAATGGGGGACGTAACATGCAAACAACTATGTACAAACTACACACACACACACACACACACACACACACACACACATACCTGCATATGATGAATTGGTGCCTCAAGTGCTGGCCTCGATTGAGGACCTTGAGGGCCACAAGTGACCTTGAGGCCCAAGAAGGTTCCCCACCCCCGATGTAAACTCAGTTCAAATACCACCTCCTGCATGAAGTGTTTCTTGATCCCTCTTAGCTACTTGTTTATCCCCTGAAAAAAAATTTATCTTGTATTTACTTTATGTAGCTTATGTATTACATACGTTGTCTCTCCTGAAAAAAATGTAAGGAACTGTTTCATTTTTGTTTTTGTAACCCTAGCACAGTAACTGCCTATAGTATTTGCAACACATTTGTTGAATGGAATTGAATGACAAGGGTAGAGGTGAGTCCAGGTTGGAGTTAGATGCCATAAGGGAGGTAGTAAACATCCAGAAAGGGAAGCAATTATTACAAAGTACCAGCATGGCTTCATCAAGATGACTTAACTTATTTCCTTTTCTATTTTTTTTTTTTTGGATAGGGCCACTTAGCATCAGATGCCGGGGAAAACTGTGGGTAGAGTTGTTAGATTTTAACAAAGCATTAGATAGAATGTGTCATGTTCTTCTTACTGAGAAGATCAAGGGACCTAGGCCAGACAATCCTAGAATTAGATTTGGAACTGTTCAGAATTGTGAATTGGGGGCAGAACCACATGAAGAGCAATTAGACTTGATCACTTTGGGCCTAGAGGAAAGAACCAGGAGCAAGGACTAATGGAAGCTGCAAATAGGCCAACTGAGACCAGATGTCAGGAAAAATGTCCTAAGAGGAACAGTTGCCCCCAAGCAGAACGGGTTACCTCCTTGGGATGTGTTAAGTTTCCCCTCATCAGATATCTTCAAATAAAGGCTTTCACACATAGTAGAGAGGACCTTCTAAGAGGCAGCATGGTTTAATGGATGGGGTGTACAACTTGGAACTGGAAGGACCTGGGTTCAGGTCCTGCCTCAGACACTTAGTGGCTGTGTGATCTTAGGAGAGTTGTTTGCTCGCTCTGTGTTTCAGTTTCCTCACCTGAGAGTGAGGTGGACTCAGTGGCCTCTCAGGTCTGTTGTAGCTTGAAATCTTTGATCCTGTGATCCTTCCAGGTTGGACTAGCTTGCTCCTGTGGAAGCATCCAACTTAAATTCTGTGATTCCATGTGTGAGGAGGTGCGGGAGGGGAATGTTGCATTTAGCCCGAATGGACACTATAGAAGTACACAAAATGAAGCATACAAGCAGATTTCTATGCATATATATGTGTATATATATATATATATATATATATATATATATATATATATATATATGTGCATGCATTTGTATATGTTGTATATAATTATTATATGTATAGGTATACATTACATGAGTGTTCATATATATGAAAACGGATATATGGATCTATAGTTTGCAGATCTATATAGAACTACATACTGTTCAATTGTGTCTAACTCTTTGTGATTCCATTTGGGATTTTCTTGGCAAAGATACTGGAGTGGTTGGCCATTGCCTTCTTGTTCAGGATCACAACAGCTATTAAGTGTTGGAGGCTGGGTTTGAATCTGGGTCTTCCTGACTCCAGGCTAGGCATTCTATCCACTGTGCTACCTAGCTGCACCTAGAGCTATAGAGAGAGCATCCCAGAAGTCTTACTGCATTTTAAGCTATTAAAAGATAGACCGTCTTGGGACGGTCTGTAGAGCAAGAAGGTAACCTTCATGCCAAAGGAACCACTGGATTTAGAGCTGGAAGGGACCTTGGAGATCTAGTAGTACAACCTCCTTTTACAAATAAACTGAGTGATCAAGGCCAGCAAGTGACACATGCATACATGTACGTTCTATACATGTATATGCACATAATTATTGAGAGAAAGCACAATATAGTAGAAGGAGGTCTGACTTGAGAGTCAGGAGGGCTGGATACTCGTCCTGGCTGTGTCACTGACGCTGCTGTGTGACTTGAAGCACATCCCTGGCAAACTTTAAAGCACTAAATACTAGCAATCGTTATTAGCACTAGAAAAGCAGTTGCCTTATGACTTTCTGATGCACTTATCATGTAACACTGAGAAATCTATCCGTGTTTGTGCCTCACCCTGCTACTAAAGTGAAAACAGAAGAGAAGGAAAGAAGGAAAGAGGGAGAGAAGGAAAGAGGAAAGGGAGGTTAGAAGGGAAGAAAGGGACGGAGGTTGGGAGGAAGGAAAGAGGGAAAGACAGAAAAGGAAAGAAAAAGAAAGAGAAAGAAAAAGAAAGAGAGAGTTCAAAGGAAATAAGTGAGGGAGGAAGCATTTATTAAGATCCTACTATGTGTTAGGCACTGAGCTAATCGCTGGGGACCCCAAGAAGGGAAAAGTATTTGTGGCACCCCAGGTGTTTAATGAACTGGGCACCGCCGGGCTTCTCTCCTCCCCGCACTGGGGCGTTGGGAGCAGCCGCCCCCCGCAATCCTGGATCTCTTTGAAGTCCCGGACTATTAGCCCACGATCTGTTCCCCACCCCACCCCCACCCCCCCACCGCAGCCCGCGCCGCGGTTCGTTGCAGGAAAGCCTGGAGGTGCGCAGTCTGCGGGACGGCTAGATTCCGCCCGCCTCTTTCAATGGACCTTTGTGTAAACTTTCCATTCACCAGCGCCCCGACGTTTCGCCTGGAGCACTAGTGAGCTCGGCCCTCCAGGGCAGGGGGGTAGTTTCGCTTTTGCCTCCGGGCCGGTCCCCAGCCCCGAGCGCAGGGCGGGGCACACCTGCCGCGCTCAATTAGCGTTTGTCTATGGATAGACTCCAAGGTGGGCCGGCCGAGCCGCGTAGAGGAGGACCAGAGGGTGGGCGTCTGCGGGCCGGGAGAGGGGCCGCCAGAGGATCCTCAAGGTCAAGGAGGCTGGAGCGCCGGGCTCCAAGTCGCCCCCGCGGGCTGCTATCTGGTGACAATCACAAGGACTCCCCCCCCCCGCCCCCCGCCAGATGCCTCGTGATACGAGTGCCCGCCACACCCCAGACGCCGAGCCGGAGCTAGCACCCGGGAACACAGCCCCGGGCGAGGCAGGGGGTGGCGGTGGGGAGTGGGGAGCAGCCCCGCGCAGGGGCAGAACTGACCTCTGGGACATATTTGCCGCTGACCACAGAGGCCTACGGAGCGCCAGATCCGGCTCCGCGCAGCCGCACGAGCAGGGAAGGGCCCTTTCTCCCCCCTCCCCCAGCCCTCCGAGTCCCCGCGGTACGGGCCAGCGCGCCTGCGCACGCCCTTTCGCACGCTGGCACGCTAGCGGCGTACGGCGACGGCTAGGGGTCGCGAGCCGGCGGAGGAGTGGCGGGCGCGCGCCGAGGAGCCCGGGGCGTCGGACGCGTCTCCCCCCCTCCCCACGCCTCCCTCCCCCATCCCCCTCCCGCTCCGCCTCCTCCCTCCCCCCTTCTCCCTTCCCCCTCCCCCGACGATGTTTCGCTACGAGGTGAGCGCGGGCCACCGGAAGTGGCCCCCCGGGAAGAGGGGGGAGTGGGACAGAGAGAAGGGGGGGACCCCCGCCCCGGGAAGACTTGGGGGGGCGGGAGGGGCCGGGCCCGTTACTCCCGTTACACCTAAGGACCGACGCCCCGGCCTGCGAGCCGCTGCCCAGCCTGAGGAGACTAGGGAGGGGGGGGTCGGGGAGGCTGCCCTGGGGACTTGGAGGGGGGTTTCTCTGGAGCCCTAAAGGGCCTCCCCTGGGACCACGAGGAACTTCCTCTGTAACTTTAAGGGAGTCCCTTTGCGGCTCTGGGGTGCTTCCCCAGGCCCTTTGGAGGGCTCCCTCTATAACTTTGGGGGAGTCTCTCTGTAGTCTTAAGAGACTCCTCTAGGGTCTTAAGCGGCTACACTGTAACTTTGGGGGATTCTCTGCAGCCTGGACGGAGGGCTCCCTCTGGGGTCTTGGGGCTTCCCTCTAACTTTGCGGGGTTCTCTCCGTGGCCTCTGGAGCCTTGGGGTGGGGCTGAGATCAAGGCCGGCTGCCTCCCAGGTCCCCATATCTCGGAGGAGCCCAGGGAAGCAGGTGCTGGGCCTCAGGAGGAGGGGGGCGGGGGACAGCGCCTGCCCCGAGGCCTTGGCTGCAGGCGGGGCTGCTCACATGCCGTGGTCTGGGGCTGTCATAACCTTGACCTGGCTCCCAAAGGCCAGGGGGCCTTGTGCTCCTTCCTGGTGGAAGGCACCGAGGATGACGTTAGGGGAAGCGCGGTCCAGGGCTGGTCTGCAAGGTCCCCCTCATGCGGAGGCAGTCTTCTGGTTGAAGCTTGGGATGCGTGTCTGTTGTTGCTCCTGTTGTTAGAGAGGAGGGAGGAGAAAGTTTGTTCTTTGGACCGTAATCCCTCCCTTAGGTTGTAGCAGGAACTATCTAGACCAAACCTACAGTTGGCCAGAAATTAAGAGCAGGTAGCTTTCTCCAGTACTTCTCTGGGGTAAAGGAACTTGAGATACTCTGGTTGGGGTTGTGTGTGGGGCGGGGGTTCATCTCCCAATAAAGACGCAGCGCACACCTGCCTTTTTGGCATTGTGGAAGAGCCCTGATCTTGAAGTTAGAATCCGGTTTGAATCTCAGCCTTGCTACTTAATTGCTACTTATGTGTCTTTGGGCCCAAAAGTGGAATCAAGCACTGGAAAGAGCTCTAATGAGCATCTAATACAACATCCTTATTTGATAGGGGAAGAAACTCAGGCTGGAAGAGGTTAGGTGACGTGGGTACTAAGTGGTAGCAGACCTGCATTTGAATTCAGGCAGCCTGATTCCATACCCAGAATTCTTCTACTGTTACCATTCATGCATTCAGCAAGCTTTTATTAAATTCCTGCTAGTGGGAAGAGGATTGACTCTGAAAACAGAGGACTGTATTTTGTGTGACATTGGGCAAGTCTTTTCCTGTCTCTGAGTGTCAGTTTCCTCATCAGTGACATGAGAAGGTTGAAATAGCCTTTGATGCCTCTTCCAGCACTAGATCTGAGCCTGTGTGCTGGGCACTGTGCTGTTCTCCAGAGATACAAAAGTAAAAATGAAACATCCCCTGCCCTTGACCTTAAATGTAAATACACACACAAAGTAATTTCTGATAGTGGTGGGAAGAGGTGGAGGGGAGGATCAGGAAATATATGCAAGAAGTGAAACTTGAGATGAGCTTTGAAGGAAGATGGAAATTCTAAGAGATTCATGTGAATGTAACATACTTGCTAGGCCTCAGTTTCCTTCAGTGTCCAATTCTAAAATCCTGTGATTCCTAGTGGTGACTTTAAGCAAAGTGATTAACTTCTCTGAATTTCACAAGATCATAAATCTTGAGCTGGAAGGGACTTCAGATTATCTATTCTAACCTCTCTCTTTTACAGATGAGGAAACTGAGGTCCAAAGAAGTTAATTGACTTCCACAAAAACCATACCGTTAGTAAAATGGCAGAGTTGGAATTCAGGCCCAGGTCCTCAGACTCCAAGACTGTCATTCTTTCCACTTGACCACATTGCCTCCCTCATCTTTAAAATAGGGCAATATAGGGCCTCTTTCCCTTACATACCTCAGCTTCTTGAACACCTCTATGTTCTATGATTCTAATAATAATTGTTAATAAGAGTAACAACACTTCACATTTATATAATGCTTTAAGTTTTGCAAAGCACTTTACAAATATCTCATTTGATCCTCATGACAACCCTGGGAGGTAGATGCTATTACAGTTCCATTTTACACATTAGGAAACTGGCAGGCAGAGATTAAATGATTTGTCCAGGATCACAATGCTAGTAAGAGTGTGAGACAGATTTTGAAGTCAAATCTCAGTGACTCCAAGTCCAGGACTCTGTCCAGTGCACCAGCTAGCTCAGAGAACTGAGTCACAGGGCATAGCACTAAACCTCTGGTTCATTCACCCCACTAGAATTGGCGAAAAGTCTCCTTGGAGCCTTAACAGAGGGCTCGCCAAATGGCACTGACTTTGTTGTTGTTGTTGTTGTTGCTTTTTGGTGAGGCAGTCGGGGGTAAGTGACTTGCCCAGGGTCACACAGCTGGTAATTGTCATGTGTCTGAGACCGGATTTGAACTCAGGTCGTCCTGACTCTAAGGCCAGAGCTCTATCCACTGTACCACCTAGCTACCCCTTCACTAACTTTTGATGGACTTTTGATGACTGGAAATGAGAGGTGGGAATAAGTGGGCAGTTGTCATTTTTTAAAAAGCAGAAAGGAATAATTAACAGCTAACAGCTAAGTAGAGGAAAAAAATTCATATGCCATGCAGTTGTGTTTGTGCAAGGCCATGGAGATGATTTATCAAGATGTGTTTTGTTAGAAAATGGAATGAATTGTGAGGCTGAAGACTTGCTATAGAAGCTTTCTTTTTATTTGTCAAGTTAGGGGTGAGACAATGTTGAGAAATATTTAAAAGAAAGGAGTGATAGATTGAGAAGTAGATGAGCATGATGGAAATGAGTTTATAGAGGCAAATACCTAAAACTTCGAGCCAGAAATGTAATATAATTAACTTTCGATTCCTTTTTCTGCTTTAAACAGTGAGATAAGGAAGTTAAGGATTAGTTTCAGTTCTGACTTGTAGCAGTTGAGATTTAAGAAGTCCCTTTACTAGATTTCTGATGAATCATGTGAAATGGTGCAGTCAAGAAAATATTGTACGCAATGTAAATATAGGCATATACAAAAATGTAAATAAAGGCAACAAAGCTGAAGTTAAATGCCACAGACAGTGTTGGTACCAGACTATTCAAGCACATAGCCATCCTTTCTGCTAACAAAAGGTGACACATTGGCAGTGGCAGTCGAGCTATTAGGTCATTTAGCTGACCTGTTTTCAGAAAAAATACTTGGCAGGTATGGACCTTGGTGTACTGGGTTTGGGGTATTGGAAAGTGTCAGTAGTATCAAAAAATGTATCAACAAAACCAAGATTTCTCATAAGAGAAATGAAACTCTGGGAAGAAAAGGAGAAATAGGATAGCTACTGAAAGAGAACACTGCCCTGAAAGCAAATTCACCTTTGAAAGCAATGTCTCATATTAGATAAGGTTGTGTAGAAGAGAGACCACAGTCATCATGAAAGTTAATGGACTACATTCTTCAATAGAGAAGACAGTTCAAAGCAGTCTTTTCAGAGCTGAAAATGAAATAGGGGTGTGTGGACTTGTTGAATGCCTTAACCCTGTTTCTTGCCTCTTTAGTCCCTAGAAGATTGTCCTCTGGATGAAGATGATGATGCTTTTCAGGCTCTGGGGGAAGAAGATGAAGATATTGATCAATTCAATGATGACACGTTTGGAGCAGGTGCAGTTGGTAAGTATCACTTCACATTCTCAGCATTCCAGCACCTCTCCTGTGGCGGATAGAAGTCACCAACTTGACATCTCTGTTTTGGGTCTCTGTCACTAAAGCTTGATGTTACCATGAAACAGCCTTGATTTTTCTGGCTTTCAGAAAGAAGTAGAGACCCTGCAGCAAGTAGAAAAATTAATTCCAATTTTGAACTGGATTTTGAAATAATTTGGTAGTCAATGGGCCATGGAGTTCTTAGGGCTTCCCCTCATAGAGTTGAGAAGCAGTGTTTATTCATCCTTCAGTTAAGAAGGATGACATTAATAACACAGGTAGAGAAAGTGTAACGATAGTGACAAAGTTGGGATGTGAAAATATGTGTAGGAATTTAGAGTTGAGGCATTTGTGCACATGAGTAATCCAGACCAAGTGTAGTAGGAAGCAAATATATACACATGAGGAAAGAGAGGAAAATGAATAGTAGTGGATGAGGCTGAGGCTGACAAGTGGGAGAAAGGAAGGCCTTAGAAGATGCTTAAAGATTTTTCTGCAGCTTTCAATACAGCTAAGTTTTATTACATATCAGGCTGAGATGAAGACAGAGGGGGAAAGTGATAGAGAATATAAGGATGGGAATTGAGTTCTGTAAAATTCCGTAGAGGACTAAGGAACTGTCCCTAGCAGAAACAGAGCACTGTTCTGGGTACCAGCCAGAACCTTAAGACAAAGGGCCCAAAGGCCTTCTGGATTGTGCCCTTGACTGTGGAGGCAAGCTAAAAGGATATCATGCTCCAAAATGTTGAAGACTGCTGATACTAGGATGAAAAGCTTGTAGGATAGAGTCATAGGGCAGAGAGCTGTCTGTAATTTTGTCTTATCTTTATGACAATAGCATTCATCAACAGCTAATGTAACAACATAGCGCAAAATATTAAGTGCTACCATCTAGAACCATCTTATCTGTAAGGAGTGTATTCTGTTTTCCCCTTTTCCCAGAGTTCTTCAGTGTTAAAGTAAACTTTGAGTTGGTTCGTGGCTGTTGCATTATTATGGCTCAGTCTTAAACCTGCAACCATGGAAAGAATGATCTTTGCTCTCTGAGTAACTTTCAGTATTGCTCTGGGCAAAGTTATTTACTTAGATTGTGTTCCCTCTAAAAACAGGAATGATATTACTTTGTAAGGATGTTTGGGTATATGGTATTTAACCCCTCTCCCCTTCCCCAAACCTCCACATACACATTGCTGTAACCCTTGGAAAACCACGAAGAACAACAGAATGCAGAAAGTAAAGAGAGTTAAAATAATTTTCTGCAAGGTTATTTGTTAGCCTAGAGAGGAAGCATGACTAAGAAGAATTTTTCAGTCGACAAACTTCCAAACAGGATTTTCCAAGACGGTGATTTTCCTTTGAGAAAATCTTGTGATAAGAAACTAGAGTTAAAAATCTGTTGGCAGATTTTACACACACACACACACACACACACACACACACACACACACACACACACCCATCCTACCTCTCTTCAATAAGGAGCAGCACCATGTAAATATCAGTACTTACAATTATGTTAATGAGCTCCTTTAGCCTGTTTTATGTAACTTTTATATGTTCAGAGACTCAGCTTTTTGATTTAATAAGCCTAGCAATGTTAATAACTATGGGTTAGTTGTTACCAAGTATCAGACTTCCTTAAGAAAATAATGTGATTCTGTTCTGTATAAGTTAAGTTTTTTGTGTTATCTTGGAGTAGTAAACTTGGACAAGTAAAGTTTTAACGAGGCAAAGCTTGTGTACCAAACAAACTCAGAGAAGTTGCTGCTTGCCTGTCATCTCTGAGTTCATTGAATTTGGGTATTTCTTTACTTTCTAAAGTAATAGTCTGTCGGGGGCAGCTAGGTGGCACAATGGATAGAGCACCGGCCCTGAAGTCAGGAGGACCTCAGTTCAAATCCGGCCTCAGACCAAATATTTGACACTTACTAGCTGTGTGACCCTAGGCAAGTCACTTAATCCCAATTGCCTAAAATTAAAAAATAAAAAAAAAAAAAGTAATAGTCTGTCTTCCTTAGGGACTGTGATTGTCCCCAAGCTAAGTCTCCATTACTCCTTGATCATCTCTCCTGCTCTTATCCATTAATGCTCATTGGTCTTTCAGGGTTGGCCTCAAGGCCACCTGGATTTTATCACCATTGTGGCTGGTGGGATTGTCTAAATCCAAAAGCAGCTAAGAATCTGAGAGTCTGGTCTTGATGTCAGTATTTTTTGATTGAAAGGAAACAGGTCATGATTTAAGTGGCTAAGGGTATAAGCGCCGCTGCCGACTCCTCCTTCTTTTTCTCCTTCCTCTTCCTTCATCCTTCTCCTTCCCCTTTCTTCTCCCCCATCACACCTCTTGTTTTCTTCTTTTTTTTCATTTTTTTAAATTTTATTAATTTATTTTGATTTATCAACAGTCACTTCCATATGCTTTTGAGTTGAAAATTTTTCTCCCCCTTCCTCCCCCCGACCCTCCCCAAGACAGCGCACAATCTGATACGGGCTTTACATTTACATACCCATTAAACATATTTTCACATTAGTGAAGTTGTAAGTAAAAATTAAAACCAATAGGAGGAACCATCAGAAAGATGAAACAAAACTCAACAGAAGGTAAAATTAAGTGATAGTGATTCGACTTCCATAGTTCTTTCTTTGGATGTGGACAGCATTTCCATCCCGAGGCCTCTGGAGATGTCTTAGATCCTCATAATGCTGAGAAGAGTTCAGTTTAACAATCTTGGTCATTGCAAAACGTGGCTGTTATTGTGTACAAAGACCTCTTGGTTCTGCTCACTTCACTCAGCATCAGACCATATAAGTCTTCCCAGGTTTTTCTGAAGTCAGCCTGTTCATCATTTCTTATAGCACAATAGTATTCCATTACATTCATATACCACAACTTGCTCAGCCATTCCCCAATTGATGGGCATCCTCTCAATTTCCGATTTTTTGCCACCACAAAAAGAGCTGCTATGAATATTTTTGTACGTGTGGGTCCTTTTCCCATTTGTTTGTTCTCTTTGGGATATAGCCCTAGAAGTGCTGTTGCTCGATCAAAGGGTATGCACATTTCTTCTTGACTTGCAATGCCACTTGTGACCTACATGGATTGAGGTCAAACTTATTCATGTCTGATTAACTGCATTCTTTAGGTCATGTGAAAAGTATAGAGAATAAAGTGTTGCCACACAGTGAGTGCACTGGAGCTCAAAATGCTTCCCACTGGGTTTCCAAGTGACCTTACACATTTATTGAAACAAAATGAGAATGGTAAGATTATGGTAGACTATGCAGACATGCCTCTTTGATTCAGGATTAAATGTCTGATTTTAAAAATGGAACTTCTTGAGCAGAGAAGTTAACAAACCAGTGATTTTATTCTTTTATTTTTTTCAGTTTAGAAAAATTATTTTTATCTCTCACCCAACCACACCCCCTGATTGGGGGAAGGAGAAAAAAAAAGAAAGCCTTGTAACAAATACACATTGTCAAGCAGAACAAATTCCTGCAATGCCCATGCCCAGAAACATATTTCAGTTTGTATTCACAGTCTACCTCTCTTACCAAGAGGGGGCAGCATGCTTCATCATCAGTCCTCTGGAGTCATAAACTAACAGTTTTAAAAGGTTGCTCTTTCTGCTTGCTTTCTTCATCTGATACCCAGATAGAAGAAGTCGGATCTTAGTAGGGGAAGTGGCTAGTAAGAAGATGTGCAGTGATACTCCTTATACTGAAGAAAGCATGGCCTGAAAAAACTCATTGTTTACCCAACCATCGGTGTTATAAATGTTGTCTTTTCTTATAGCAAAAACACAGTTTGTTAATGCCATGAAAACTTTTGGAATTTGTAGGTGACTTTCTCAGATTTTTTTTTTCTGTGAAAAGAAAGATGGTATGAAAATTGTCATTGGGCCATTTATTCCAATAAACAGGGAATTGTTGAGCAAGGGAATTCAGTATGACTGGGAAAGTACCTGCTAATCTGTGTGGTTCTGTAAACGTATTTGGTATGTCTTTTCCAGATCTGCCATCTTTGGTACCGGAATGAACCGCTATTTCAGGGTCAGGGAAGGTCCTTTGTTTCCTAATTAATGTTTCTAAAGCTACAATGCTTCCTAGTACCTGGTGGATAATAGGAATGTTGTCAAATGTAGTTTTCTCATAGTTACAAGGTATGGGAAATTATTTATCACATTCCAGGGTGCATTGGTTTACCACAAGGGTGATGAATATAAGCAATTATTTTGTTTATTTGCAATAGTTAATTTTACATTGGGCCTTAGTACTTCAAGAAAAGGCAAAAAAGAAAAACAAGTCAAACAAGCTAGAGTCCTGCTATATTACAGAAATTCAGAGTTGGAAGGAACCTCCCAGACTGTAGTCCAGACTATGCCTGAGCAGGAGCTCTCCACCTACTCAGCAAGTGGTGGTCTAGCCTGTGCTGGATGGTGTCCAGGGAGGGCAAGCACAGGCTTTAAGGCAAGCCTGAATTTTCCTCTTGAAAGCTTCTCTGGGGCAAAGTAGAATGAAAACAATCCCCTTTTCACCTGATAACCCTGTAAATATTTGACTCCCCTAAGCCTTGTCTTGCCCTGGCTAAACAAATCCATCTTCTACAGTCTGTTTGGCATGATCTCAAGCCCCTTTACCCTCTAGTAGCTCATCATTGTCCTTTCTAAAATGCGACAAGCAGAATTGAACATCTCACCCCAGACGTGGCCTGGCCAGCTTGTAGGGCAACAGAAGCCTTACCTTTACCATCCTGGCCGCTGTTTCTCCCTGAGTGTAACTTCCTGCTGACTTGTGTCGAGCTTGCGGTCTAAAAGGCCCAGATCTTCTTCAGGTGAACTGCTTTATAAATAGTCATGCCTCACCATTCTTTTTTGTTTTGATTTGTTTTTTTGCTAGGCAGTGGGGTTAAGTGACTTGCCCAGGGTCACACAGCTAGTAAGTAATATGTGTCTGAGGGCAGATTTTGAACTCAGGTCCTCCTGAATCCAGGGCCAGTGCTGTATCCACTGCGCCACCTAGCTGCCCCCCTGTTGGTGGTGGTGTTTAGTTAGTTCAGATATGAAGAGTTTACATTTATCTATACGTGATTGAGTGAAAAGAGTCCTAGATTATGAATTAGAACCTGAGGTGTAGTTTTGGCCCTGCTTTTTTTTTTTCCAGTGAGTTTCTTAACACTTGTTGCTCTAAGATTCCTCATCTGTTAAATGAAGGGCCAGCTCTTAAATGTCGTTCTGTATGGTGCTACGTAAGATCGAGTATGGAGAGAGTTAGACATTCGTTCTTGATCTCTTTCCATATATTGCCTAAGGTAGACAGCATTGATACGTAGCCTGTCCAGAAAATCTACAAGCAGTTTATCCACAAGTTTAACACAAAATATGTAATGTGTACAACTGAAGAGGAACATTACTGTATGTTGTGAATGGATAAAGAATTAAACAGAGTGGAGTTAGGAAGAAAATGCTACTTCTTTTAGCTTCAGAGAGAAAGTAGAGATTTCGAGCGTGTCTCTCATAGCCATAGGAATGGAATAGTTATAGTAAAGAAGCTTTGGAAGAAGGAAAGAAGTGTGGTGTAGGGAAGCTGAAATGGGTGATGATCAGAGCTCTGCTAATCGTGAGAGTGAGGCCCAAAGACTCTGGGATGGCATGGTGGTAGCAACAAGAAAAGTTGTCTGGCAAAACTGACACAGATTGAGAGTAGAAGTCATGCTAGAGCCTGTGAAGGGAAAAAGCATATGCAAGTAAGAGATAAGCAGGAGCTGATTGGGTCTGTAGGAATGAAAAGGAAGAGGCAGAGTTGAGAGATGATGGAAGTGCATGAACATGAGTACTCCAGACAGGAACAGTGCTAGTGAAATGCTACTTTAATATGTCTGGGGAGGCTTATGTTTGAGCAAGACCCATGAGTGGTGTAAACACAAGGAAATCTCAGGATCAGTTTTTGAAGGTGCCTTAAAATCAGTTCCATAAATGCCAGTGATGTGGTAGGTAGGATATTACATTGGGAACTGAGGCTTTATCTGAGCACTGATCTGTTCTTGAAATGGGCAGTGGCTTTTGTCCGATTTTTTTCCCTCTTTTTAAAACCAAAATACCATCTTCTTTCTACTTACTTCACAGAGGTGTACTTGGGTTAACATGAACACCAACTCAGCATCCATTTATTGAATATCGTCAGTAAATTCCTATGTGGGGAGTGGGGTGGGGGTAGGGAGATAAAAAAAAAGGAGGAGACAGGATCTCTGTCTTCATGGAGTTAGTAGAATAGAAAATACATGTACAGATAACTAATTTTTAAGGTCAAATGTGGGAGTTTAATGAGAAATACAAAGTAGTAGAAGAGATGAAGACATTTTTCTGCCTGGGAGGATCAGAGAGATAGCTAAGAACTGGACAAGCAGACAGGATTAGGGAGCATTCCAGGCAGAGACAGTAGTATGAGTAAAAGCCACAAGTAAAGAATTTCAGAGTAGGCTTCCATATTAGGAAGCAGCAATTTGGTTAGTGGGTAGAATGTATAATTGGGAGTAGTGGCTAATAAGAATAGAAAGATTCATTGTGATCACCCACGTCATGGTGAGCCTCAAGTGAGACATTGAGCTTTATTTCATTGGCAAAGGGAATCTTCAAAGGTATTTGAGAAGTGAAGGTTCATGATCAGAGCTTTTGCTTAAAAGGATTAATCTATCAGCCGTAATTAACTGTAATGAACTCCCAATTTGCACAAGTTATTATCTCCTCTAGCCCTAAATATACGAAGGTTCCAGGACTTCTGGAATATTTGAGACCTTGGACTTAGTATACCAGCAAGGCAGAACCCACAAAATAACTACATTTTGCTCCCAAAAAAGAATAATGGATATAATCAGGATATGTACTGTATCTGTTCAGTAATGATCATGTTAATGTAGTATACATTAAAGTACCAATCAGTAAGCATTTATTAAGCACCTATTGTGTACCAGGTACTGTTCTGGGAACTCAAATATAAAGAATTGTTACTTTCAATTTAGAATTTCAAATTAGAATTTAAATTCTAACAAGCAAGTGATCCATAGGTTGTTCTGAAGCGTAAGCTCAACAACATGCAAGTCTATCCATAATAAGTTCTGTATAATAAAACTTACAGTTCTTAGCACTAATCTTAAACACAGAAAACACAGTTATTCCAATAAAGGGAGCGCTGAGTGTTTGTTTTGTTTTTGTCTTTGTGTTCCAAGCACTTAACACAGTATCTGGAGCATAGTAAGCACTTAGTACATGTTGATTAAGAGAATGACACTAAGTTACCTCTCCTAGACCTTCTGGACTCTGTCCATATGGACCAGAGTTGGGGGTGGGGGGAGCAAAGGAGAGGAAAAAGAGACAAATCAGGCTTCTGCTACATAGCTCAGCTTCAGATAAAATAGACCACGTTCAACAGGCAAGGCTGGGAAGGAGACCCAAAGTTCTGCTGGCTGCTGGGAGGAGGGGGAAGAAAAGTGAAAGCAAAGTTTCCAGGCTCCTGCTCCTTTTGGAGCAGCCATACAAGGCAAGAGAATGACGGGGGAAGAGGATGGGCCAAAAACCAAGAGAAGCTTTCCCTGTTTTTTGTCATACTACATCACACATTTCTGTGTTCTTTTTTAGAACCACCTCCTTCGAGGTGATGCAGAGCTCATGCAAGTTGAAAGCTGTGCCATCAGAAATCAGTTTAGAGAGGAGTCTGATGCCCATTAAGTTAGGTCAATCATCTCCCTTATCGTGGTATATTTTACTGATTCGAGAGGGTCGTGCTCTCTCTCTCTGCTAGGAAGCCACCCTCTCAGCTGTGACCGATTGAGGTACATTCTTATATTAGTGGAAACTAGGTGGGAAAAGGGCAGGCTTTTCTACTATCCTCCTCCCCTTTCAAACAGCCAGAAGGTATTAACTATTAAATACAGCATTGTCAGCTTGTGGAACTGGGGATATCTCATAACAAATATAAAAAGTAATGAAGGGGCAACTAGGTGGTGCAGTAGATAGAGCTCCGACCTTGGAGTCAGGAGGACCTGAGTTAAATCTGGCCTCAAATACTTGACACTTACTAGCTGTGTGACCCTGGGCAAATCACTTAACCCGGATGGCCTCACCAAAAAAAGAAAAGAAAAGAAAAGTAATGAAGCTTGTAACTAAGATGGTGACATTAAGAATAGAGAAAGGGCTGGTTGTGAGAGATTTTAGAAATAGAATATTTCTAAATGTGAAACTTTGCAGTTAATTAGGGGCATAGAGAGAGCAAGGGTGAGGGAAGAATCCATGAGGATTTTGATGTTTTAGACCTGAGTGATTGGAAAGATAATGATAAATCAAGGGGGATGGAAGGAGCAGGTTTTAGGAGAAAGGTGAATTTCACTTTAAACTTGTTGAGTTTGAGGGGAGTCAATGAAGTAGCCTGGTGGGGACATCCAGAAGCTAGTTATAACTTCAGTTGTATAGCTCAAAGAGAGAGGTCAGGACTAGAGACATGCCTTTGGGACTCTTCCCCTTAGAGATGATGGTGAAAACTAGAAGTAGAGGTAATTCTGAAGGAAGAAGAGAGAATATAAAAAAGAAGAGGTCCGAGAATAAGAATTTAGGAATCTATAAACCTCAGTTGCTTTGTAACATAAGTGCTTTTGTTAGCCATATTTCATCTTTGTGGTTTTCTTATAGATGATGATTGGCAGGAAGCGCATGAACGCCTGGCCGAATTGGAAGAGAAGCCAGTGGTGGCAGCTGAACAGACAGGCAATGGGAGCACTGATGAGATGGACTTGCTGGGAGACCATGAAGAGAACCTAGCAGAAAGACTCAGTAAAATGGTGATTGACAGTGAGCTGGAGGACCCTGCTATTATGAGGGCACTGCAGACCAGGCCTGTTGTGCAGGTGAGTGGATCCCCAGGCTCCAAGAACTTCGAAGGTGGACCCTTCTTGGTATTTCTACCCAGGCAATATAATTGAATGTCTTAAGCTCTGTAACTTTTTACTGTGCTGCAGCTCATAATAAGCTTGCTTCTAAAAGTGAATAAAAAATAAAAAAAGGCATCTAGTAGCGGTAGGCCTGCCTGTATATAAGGCTCAGTGGTGAAATGAGTTTTCTCAGATTGTTGAACTTTCTCTATGCTTATTCGGGTGAATAAAATAAAGCAACCAGGGAATTCAAATTGTTCTAGAGTTCCAACAGTTGTTCAGCTCTTTTCCTTTTTTGCACCACCAGCCTGGAGGTCTCAATTCTAGCATTTGGGATGGCTCTGCCGTTCTGAGACGCATACGAGGACCACTTCTTGCTCAGGTAGTATGTTAATTACATTAGTAATCCAGAGTACGCAAACAGTTTGCCATTGTGAAATATATCATTTTAGCAGAATGTAAGTTCCTTGAGGAGCTTTGTATCCCCAGTGACTTGCACAATCCTTGGCACGTTGAGTCCTTGAGACTCGATTCAGCAAATATTTATTAAGGCATGTTGAAATGTGAGGTACATTAGTGGCTGAAAAAGCCTAGTCTAGTATAACCTTTGTCTCCCCAATTTGGGGTATTCTTTTTTACCACTTTAAATTCAGTTTGACCATTCACCACTATAACTGTGCAACTGATTCAGGTCATAATTATCTCAAAATGTTTTAGTATCTCTGGAAATTGCTAGATCACTTGTATGTTCTGTTGGCTCTGTTTTTCAATCAGGAAATGCCCACAGTGTCTGTGTTAGAATATGCCTTGCCTCAGAGACCCCCACAGGGCCCAGAAGAGGAGCGGGACCTTTCTGAGCGGGCGTTACCAAGGCGTTCAACTTCTCCCGTCATTGGGAGCCCTCCTGTCAGAGCAGTCCCGATAGGCACCCCACCTAAGCAGATGGCTGTACCCAGCTTTAACCAGCAGGTATGTCTCATTCACAGGCACTCAGCCCAGGATATTGGGAATCTGGGCAAAATCATTTAGTGGATTTGTTCTGGGAGGAGGGGGGAAGATTTTGGTAGGCACTGAATTAGAAAGGAAAATAGCCAATTTAGAGTAAAGAAGAGAAAGATGCCCCTCTCATTCATTGCTGCTGCTGTCTAATAATTGAAAACAGATAGATTACCACTTGGTGGTATTTTTAAAAATGTTTTGGTGACCATCCAAAACACTGCCAGATAATTAAAGGCTGGGGGGAATGGGAACACACAGTGCTGTCCACATCCCTTTGTACCCTTAAGATGTCCCTGCTTTCCCTAGAGCCTGTGCAGTCCTGTTCCATAGACTTTCCTCCACCTGAAACCAGCAGCTGAAAAGGAAGGCCCATTTGGAAGGTATGGGGGGAGGGAGGTACTGGTATGGCCCAGCCAGGATCACTTCTGTCTGAAACAGTAGAAAGTCACAGGGTGTCATGAAGCTGCTGAGCATGGAGGCCATATCAGAATATCACAAAGTCTCCAGAATGGAGCTTAGTTAATCCTCCAGCTTTCTTATCCATTCCCTATCCCTAACTGTTTACCAAAATGTGCCATCATGGGAGTGAGAATTTGCAAGTCCTAGAATTTGCTAGTACCTCCCTCAGCATGGAAGGGGTGGGGATACTGGAGAATTAGCTAAATCTCCCTCAGCTAAAATGGGCACATTGTTGTTTGTGAGAGAGAGAAAAGATCAGGAGGTCCATGCTTGAACCTGTTTAAAAGCAGGGCCATCGATTTCCTTTTTACTTCTACACCAAAATCTGAGGGGAGGGACACTTAGAGTAGGTGAAAGAGAAACCGACTTGTATTGAAAGCCAATTCTATGTGGTTTCTTTTTGTTCTGACAGATTCTTTGTCCGAAGCCTGTTCATGTTCGTGCCCCAATGCAACAGCGATATCCTGCTCCCTATGGCGAGAGGATATCTCCAAACCAGCTGTGCGGTGTTGCGGTATTACACTTTCCTAATTCCTGTGGTTGTGCGTGTGTTTACATCCTAAACCATTCTCTACGGCCTATATCCTGAACCTGGACATGTATTTTCTACAACCTCTCTACTTCAGTTTCTTAATCTGATTCTCAAAAGCTCCTAAGGCCTAGTATGATTCATGCTGCTTATTTCTCTTTCCTCAACTTTCTCTTCTTTACAAATCCAGACTCTGTCAATTTGATCACCTTACCTTTGGCTTTTTAAGCCTTCTTTGCCATTTACTTCTTCATGTTAAATAACCAGAGTTTTCACTTTCTATACCTTGAAGTACCATTCTTTCTCCATTTTGTTCCTCCTAGGGGATAGCTTGAGTATCTTAAGTTGTTAAATTAATATGATTTTTACATGTGACCCAAGTATGTTTTGTGTTCCTACTGAGTGTATATATTTTAGTGATTGATTTTTTTGTGTCAAATAAGCTTCAGTTTTTCACTTTCTTTTCCAGAACTCTTCCCTTCTGGGCCACCCATTCCCTCCCAGTGTCACGCCTGTTCTCAGCCCCATTCAGAGGGCACAGCTTCTAGGAGGAGCACAGGTAAAAGGAGTGGTTGGGTTGCGCTTTCTCTCTCTCTCTCTCTCTCTCTCTCTCTGTTGCCAGATTGGGCCTCTCGCTTTCTTGCCTAAGGATGTAGCATTTGGGTTTTCTTAGTACTCTGTCACTCCTTAACATATTTTCTGCTTTGCTTTTCCCAGTAAAGCTATTTTTAAAAATTATTTAGTATTTTATTTTTTCCCACCAGCAAAGCTATGGCTGGAGAAGATATTCTCTGGTGGATAAAAGCATGCTGATCCCTTGGCACAAGGTCCTTTGTAGCTGAACTGAAGGCATTGTCCCTTTCTGTACCCGCAGCCTGGACGGATGTCTCCCAGCCAGTTTGCTCGTCTCTCTGGATTTGTAAGCAGTCCCCTCGCTACTATGAATCCCAAGTTGCTTCAGGGACGGGTTGGGCAAATGATTCCCCCAGCTCCTGGCTTCCGTGCCTTCTTTGGCGCACCTCCACCAGCTACGCCACCCCCAGCACAGCAGCATCCCTCCTGCCCAGGACCTCACCTGCAAAACCTAAGGTAACTAAAATAAAACATTTCATTTTGTTTGAGTATAGCTCATCTGATGCTCACTGGATTTCTTCTGTGTTGACAAAGTACGGTAGTATAGCATGTGTTTATGTCCCTGTTTCTAGAATGAGAAATTCAGCAAAAAAGGTATGTGCCCTTGCTAGCCCTTCGCTTAAATGTCAGGACTGCCTTTAGGAGATGAGTACTTTCAGGGTCTTGCTTCTCAGGTGCTTTGATATCAGTTCACAGCCTGGTCTCCTGAAGTCAATGAACACTTTTGTAACTTAGTGCCCTAAAATGCTGTCCACTTATAAACTTGAATTAGTTAACTGCCACCTGTCAGCTAAGACAAGAGCAGGCAGCGGAAGTTTTCTCCTGACACAAGAGCACTGCCTATCAGTCGGATGGCTCTTGGAAGTTATTTTTGTTTTTCCACAGACCTCAGTCCCAGATGTTCAGACCAGACACAACTCACCTTCACCCACAGCATCGTCGACTCTTACATCAGAGACAGCAACAGAATAGAAAGTGAGTACCAAGTGCTCTGGAGTTTGAATGGTGTTAATAGAAGAGATTATTTGTACTTTACTCTGATTGTTTTGACATTTAGGGAATGCCTTCATGGATTAGCTGATCAAATAATGACATATCAACAATAATTAAAAAAAATAGCATGATATAGCAGTGTAAGGTTTGCATAGCCCTTTACATGTGTAAACTCATTTGATCCTTACAACAACTCTGTGAGGTAGGTGTTATTATTATCCCCATTTTACAGATGAGTAAACTGAGGCAAACTGAGGTTAAGTGACTTAGTCAGGGTCACACAAGTAATAAGTATCTGGGGCAAGGTTACAACTCAGGTTTCCTGAAAATGTGTTATTCCCTTTTCTATATGTGCAAAGAAAAGAGGGGGAATAAAAGCAGTGGGGGAAAAAGGAAGGAGAAATTCTGATATTTCACCTGGACAGTTTTACAGTGCCCAGATATTTGATTGTGAATGTATAGCTATTCAACACTTTGGTGTAGTGGGCAGAGTGGTGGTCTTAGATTCTGAAGACCTGGATTCAAATGCTGGTTGCAGCACATTTTAGCTGTGTGAGCAAGAGTCTGGTATTACTTATACTGCCTGCCTTATGGGGCTTTTATGAGAAGATTGCTCTGAAAATCTCAAAACACAGACATGGAAGTTATTGTCCCTTGTCTTCTTACTTTATAAGAGTGGTAAGCAATGAGTGAATGAATTTGTGAAATTTCTTGAGTTACTTGGAAGAAATATTCTATGTAAATTTAAATTTTTAAAATTATTGATAAGTAGTATAAGCCTCTTCTCTAATTTTCGTATTACTATCACACTAAAATATTCTTCATTTTCCTGACAGTCTTTAAAAACAGGTGTATAGATCCTCTGACTTTTGCACTGTTCACTGCCTGCTTAGCTCTGTTTCCGATCTTCTTTCTGGGACCTTGCTCACCTGGCTTTCCTTCTTGCGTGTCTGCTCAATTTTTGCCACCTTGCTTTAGCTGTGAGTTTTCTTCTTGCTAGTATTTCCACGCAACAGCAGAGCACAAAGAGAATTGTATGGGAAACAACGAATCTCCATTTGTTCTAGTTCCATATGATTACTTTTGAAACTGTCCTGCTTCTCCATGCTTTCTTCTGTGTACTTGTGAAAATGTTTCAACAGCTCGCTCGCTTTGTCTCTCTCTCTCTCTCCCTCCCTCTCTCTCTCTCTCTCTCTCTCTCTCTCTTTCTCTTTTTTTAAACTCCCCACCAATTAAAAAAAGCAAGAGAAAGAAGAAAACTGACCAGGCAATAGGAATCCACACTGTAGCCATATGCAAGGCCAGGCACCTTTCTGCACCTTAAGTCCATCACGTCTCAATGAGGTCCACTTACAGGTCCTCCCCAAAATATGATTGGAGTACTTAAGCCTTTCTAAGCTGTTTTTCTTTACGATGTTACCCTTGTATAAATTGTTCTCTTGGTTCTGCTCACTTCACTACATCAGTTCATACTACTAAAGATTTTCTGAAATCATTTCTCACCATTTCTTATGCCACAGTATACTCCATTACATTCATGTACCATGATTAGTTCATCCATTCCACAACTGATGGCACCCATTTATATCCTTTTCTTTTCTTTCTTTCCCCCCCTTTTAATATCCCTTTAAGAATCAGGAAATTTTGTTTGTGGCTGTTCCATTCCTAGTATCTTCCTCCCTCTTCCCTCTCCTCCCCATCTGCACTTGTTTCCTTGTTGAGTTTAATAAATTTCTATAACAAACTCTGTGTTTAACCCTCTTGTGTCTGTTTGAGATAAGAATGAGATTTACCTCAACTGTGAGAAAAACCAAATTTTATCCCTTTCTTCCTCCTTTATAATAATACTCTTCTATTTTCCTCTCTTAAAACCTTCAGAACAGAAACAGTTTCTGCCACCCCCCACTCTCCTAGGTCTTCTGTTTTTCTTTCTGTATTTAACTTCCTCAGTACCCTTTAAAGACATTAAGGTTCCTATGAGACACTTATTTATTCTCCCCCGTTAGAATGTTAGCTTTGCATCAACATATAGCCCCTTTCAGTTGCTCAAATAAATTTCCCTTTGTAGGGTTCTCTGGACTCTTGTATTTGTATTTCATAGTTCCTACTCAGCTTTGGTCTTTTCATTTGAAATTCTGGAAAATCTTCTATTTCATTAAAAGTCATTTTTTCACCTGTAGGATTATACTCAGCTTTGCAATTTGACTTATCTTTGGTTGTAAGGTTATCTCTTTTGCCTCATAGATTAAGTAGAAGCTACCAGGTCTTCTGTGATCTTGACTGTGAGTCCTTGGTATTTGAGCTGTTTCTTTCTGAATCATTACATTATTTTTATTTTTATGTGGAAACTATGGATTTTGACCATGGTATTTCTAGAACATTTTCTCTTGGAGTGTTTGTTTGTTTGTTTTTTCAGGAGATGATCAGTGGATTCAGTTTTCACTTTGCCCTCTGGTTCTGAATAGATTTGGGGCATGAATTGAAGTATGGTGTTCTACCTGTTTGTCAGTCTCTTGATCAGTCTCTCCATTGATCTCTCTCTCTCTCTCTCTCTGTGTCTTTCTATCTCAGGACTTCCACGACTGCTTATTCTTCTCATCCAAACTACAAATAGCACCAAGAATTATTATCCTTGTATATTTATTTGAACACATTGCTAATGTGGTTCATCATAATGTTTTCAGTTGAATCATTTTCACAGCCAAACTCCTAGAAAAGAAGAAGCTTCTGTTGCTTCTATTTTACTACTTGCTATTACTTCTCAACACCTTACATTCTGGCTTCTGATCACATCACTTCAATGAAATTACCTTCTCCAAGGTTACCAGTGACCTAATTGCCAAAACCAATGGCCTTTTCTCAGTGCTTAACCTTCTTGACTTCTCCATTGCCTTTGACATTATAGACCACTCCCTCCTTCCTAGACATCTCTTCTCTATTTTCGTGACACTGGTATCTCCTGGTTTTCCTACCTCTGGCTATTTCTTAGTCTCCTTTGAAGAATCATCATCCTTATCTCACCCCCATGTTGTTCATTTTTGTAATTGAAGAAGACCAAAATGACATCGTGCTGTTGAGGTCAATATACAGTGTGTCTGACTGGCTGATCAAGTCAGTAGAGCTCAGATGGCTCTACCACAGGCCCTCCATATTTTCCTGCTATACCCCAATGTTCTCTTCTGGGCCCTTTGAATTGCCCTTCTATATCACCTGTATGTTCTGTAGGCATCTCATACTGAACATGTATAAAACAGAACTCATTTTTTCCAAAATAAACTCACCTATCTTTATGATTTTCTTATTTCTATTGAGAGTACAACCATTCTTTGGTTACCTAGGTTCAAAACCTTACAGATTCAGTAACCTTGGATTATACTCAATTCTTTGCTGTCCCTCAAATCCAAGCAGTTGCAAAGTGTAATTTATTCTATCTTTACTGTATATTTCACCTAATTTCCCTTTTCTCCATTCATGTAATCATCACCCTACTTCAGACTCTCATCACCCCTCATTTGTACTATTATAGTAGCCTACTAATTGGTCTCCCTGCTTCAGTTCTCTCCCTTCTCTAGTCCATTCTCCACATAGCTACCAAATGGACATTCCTAAAACACAGACCTGATCTTGTTACTTCCCTCCTCAAGAAACGTGAGTGGATCCTTTTGTCTCTAGGATCTTACACTGATTCCACTGTTTAGCCCTTAAACCCCTCATAATCTGACTCGAGCTTACCTTTCCAGGTTCCTGGCACCTTATTTTCCTCCATGCAGTCTGCTTTCTAGTCAGGCTGGCCTTCGTGCTTCTCTGTCATCTCTGCCTTTGCATTGGCTGTCCCTGTGTTTGGAATGCTCGCTCTCCTCATCTCTGCTTTATAACAGAATTCCTAGCTTCCTTCGGAGCTCAGCTCGAGTACCGCCTTCTACAGGAAGCTGGTGTTCTCTCTTCAGAAATTTGATGTGTGTGTTTATACACACACAGCCCACAAATAATGCTCCCTTCCCAGTATTTGCTCCTTGAGAACAGGGTTTCTCTTTTCTTTTCTTTTCTTTTTTTTGTCTTTATGTCTCAGCGTCTGGCACATAGTAGGTGCTCAGTAGGTATTTATCAGATGAACTTCTGACCATGAACGTCAAGGCTCTCTGCTGTCATATCGTATTTCTCTTGTGTTCACTGTGTCCGTCAGATGAGCCGGTGTTAATGCCCATATAACTTTCCTAGACACGTTCTTGGCCTTTGGTGCATTTCTGTTCATGCCTTTGTCAAACCATATTTCTGTCCTTCAAAGTAACTTCTGCTACAGTTACTTGGCTACATTTGCCCCATTTTTTCCAGGAATGCTTTGACATGAGTATAGCTGTGATTTTATAGTGTGAGAGAGAGAGAGAGAGAGAGTGTGTGTGTGTGTGTGTTATTTTGTGCTATACTTTTTTTTAATTTAACTTTTTTTAATTTATCTTTAGCTTTCAACGTTCACTTCTATAAGCTTTTGAGTTTTCCATTTTCTTTCCTTCCCTATTTTTCCCCCTCCCCAACATGGTGTGCAGTCTGATATAGGCTCTACGTATACATTCATATTAAACATTTTCACATTAGTCGTGTCGTAAGGAAGTATTAAAACTAATGAGAAGAACCACGAGAAAGAAGAAACAAAACAACAAAAGAATAAAAGAGATCAAATAGTATGCTTCGATCTGCATTCAGACTCCATAGTTCTTTCTCTGGGTATGGATAGCATTTTTCCATCAGAAGACTCTTAGAGTTGTCTTAGATCCTTTCATTGCTGAGAAGAGCCAAGACTGTGAAAGTTGGTCATCACATGATATGCCTGTTACTCTGTACAATGTTCTTCTGGTTCTGCTCACTTCACTAAGCATCAGTTCATAAGTCTGCCTGCTCATCATTTCTTCTAGCACAATAGTATTGCATTATATTCATATACTGCAACTTGTTCAGCCATTCTGCAGTTGATGGGCATCCTCTCAATGTCCAGTTCTTTGCCACCAGAAAAAGAGCTGCTATGAATATTTTTGTACATGTGGGTCCTTTTCCCATTTGTATGATCTCTTTGGGCTACAGACCTAGAAGTGGTATTGCTGGGTCAAAGGTATACTATACTCTTAAACAATGAATATTCCATATGCATTCTTGACTGACTGTAAAGATTTAGGTGTTAATCTTCTGGCCAAGTGACAGATGTTATCACTTGTCAAAGTTCTTGCTGTCTGTACAGTTCAGTAAGTGATACAGCATTTCTTTATATGCTTAAAGAACTTCAATTTTGAAAATTTTTCTCAATTTATCACAAAGTTCTGGAGTGGGGAGCCAAAAGATGTCACCTCCATTTCATTAGGAGGATAGTGGAGATTTGAGTTGTGAAGAAGCATTAATCATTTCAACACAAATTTTTAAGGGTTGCCTGTGTACCAAGGCATCATGGTAGGTGCCAAGAATGCAGAAATGAAAAGTAAATAGTCCCTCCTCTCCAGGAGCTTACATTCTACTAGCTCACACAATAGTGAGTGACAGATGGGCTACTCAGGATTCAGTTTCCAGACCTTTTTTTTCCTTATCACCTATATGCATTCATCTCCTTTTTACATAGAATATAATGCAATTATATCTTTAACTTGGATTTGACTTCTCTCTAGGGGTTCATTCTTACTACCAGAGAGGAGAATATTTTATGTATGTGTTTGTGTATATGTGTGTGTATATACATGTATGCATATGTCTGTATGTGTATAATGTTAATATTTAAACTTTTTTCTTTTTAAATTTTGAGTTCCAAATTCTGTCCCTCCCTCTACCCTCCCCCCCCCCGTGAAGGCAAGCAGTATAACAGTTATACATGTGAAATCCTACAAAACCTTTCCATATTAGCCATATTTCCAAAAAAAGCAAGAAGAATAAAGAAAGAGAGATAATTATATTTCAATTTGCACTGAGAGTTTATTGGTTCTCTCTCTGGAGGTGGCTAGCATTTTGTCATCATGAGTCCTTTGGGATTGTCTTGGATCATTGTATTAATCAGAACAGCCAAGTTTTTCACAGTTGATCATCATTACAATGTTGTGGTTACTGTGCACTGTGTGCTCTTGGTTCTTCTCACGTAGGTCTTGCCATGTTTTTCTGAAACCGCCCTCCTCATCATTTCTTGTAGCATAATAGTATTACATTGCAATGATATGCCACAACTTGTTCAGCCATTCCCCAATTGAGGAGTATCTCTTCAGTTTCCAGTTCTTTGCCACCACAGTAAGAGCTGGTATAAATATTTTTATACATATAGGTTCCTTTTCCTTTGGTTTCTTTGGGATACAGACCTGTAGTGGTATTGCTGGGTCAGAGTATGCATAGTTTTGTAGCCCTTGGGGTCTAATTTCCAGTTGTTTTCCAGAATGGTTGGATCAGTTCACTATGCCACCGACAGTTAATTAGTTTTTCCCAGAAGGGAGAAATCTCTCATTTTAAAATTAAATTGAGGGGCAGCGAGGTAGCACAGTAGATAGGGCACTGGCCCTGAAGTCAGAAGGACCTGTGTTCAAATCAGACCAAACACTTGACACTTACTAGCTGTGTGACCCTAGGCAAGTCACTTAACCCCAATTGCCTTAAAAAAAAAAAGATTAAATTGGTAGCTCTTTAAGCATTAAACCGTCACTCTGTATGTTTCTTGTGCCCTTGTGCAGTTATGACAGGGCTTTAAAAGGAATGATGACAAGATCGTATCCACAGATTGCCAAGACCCTATATACACAAAGGAGCAAGCAATAAATTTTTTTCAGGCCAGTTATGAACCTGGATTGATGTTTAGGTCAGACTTTTCAGAGCAAATCTAGCTTTGTGAACCTCTGCCCCCCAGATTCTGGACTGTCTTTTGTTGACCACTTTAGTTAAGATATTATATTCCTGGACCTGCAGTGGCTAACTCTTTTTCAGCTTTCACACTTTAACAGAAAGCTAGGCCATCAGCCAGTCTTCATTTTTTTCTTATGACTATGTAAAATGAAGAAACCGGATTAGATGATCTCCAAAGACGCTTCAAGTTCCAAAATTCTCCAAGTATTTTATGTTCTTTCTTTAAAAGGAATGCAGGGAATTGTCCGCCTTTAACTACATCTTTACATTGTGCAGTCATCTCCCCTGAATTATGACTTAGTTACATATTCCCATCTAAAAAATATTTTTATAATTGGTACGGTTTACTCTGGTGCTATGATTTACTCCATTTTTGCCCCTGTTTTAACTTCACTTCTTTTTCCCCTTCTTAGTTTCTACTTGTAGTTAACCATTTCAGCTCTATGTGATCCTCTGATCTCAAGTCCATTCCCTCTCGTGCTGTCAGTGTTCATAACCATGCCAAACTCCAGCCCTGGATTACTCTTGCCATCTGCCTTCATTCCTTCTTATATGATGCATAATGGAGCTGGAGGAAATTACTCCACCAAGCTGACTGTTAATGGCCTATTAATAGCATCAAAACAAAACAAAGTACCCGCCAAACCCAAGTCTTTGAGTGAATTAAGCATGTTTTTTTTCTTTTCCTTAGTCAACATCGAAGTATAAATGGTGCACCTGGGGATCGAGGAGGTCACCGGAGCAACCATCAGGAACAGCTACAAAAGGACCCATATGCAAACCTTATGTTACAGCGGGAAAAGGATTGGGTTTCGAAGATCCAGATGATGCAGTTACAAAGCACTGATCCCTACCTGGATGACTTTTATTACCAGGTACATGCTGTTTGCCAATTCTTTGTACATCTCTTTGAATCCCTAACTGGTTATTTTAACTAGTTAAGTACTTGAATGGATTTGTGATTTCACTGATGCAGGACTCCTTTCAGTCATGCAGATATTGAAGTCTATATTTGCCTTCTCATCTGCGAGCTTGCTCATGTACCACAGACAATCTGTAGTGGACCCACTCCATGCTCTGAAGACTTTCTTCTTTTTTTTTTTAATTTTCACGTTAGTGATGTTGTGAGTAAAAATTAAAACCAATAGGAGGAACCATCAGAAAGAGAAAACAAAACTCAACAGAATAGAAAAAAAAGATAGCAGTTCAGCTTCCATAGTTCTTTCTTTGGATGTGGATAGCGTTTTCCATCATAAGGTCTCTGGAGATGTCTTAGATCCTTGTATTGCTGAAAAGGGTTAAGTTAATCAGTATTAGTCATCGCACAGCGTGGCTGTTATCGTATACAACGTTCTATTGGTTCTGCTCACTTCACTCAGCATCAGACCATACAGGTCTTTCCAGGTTTTTCTGAAGTTGGCCTGTTCATCATTTCTTATAGCACAATAGTATTCCATTACATTCACATACCACAACTTGCTCAGCCATTCCCCAAATGATGGGCATCCTCTCAATTTCTGATTTTTTGCCACCACAAAAAGAGCTGCTATCAATATTTTTGTACCTGTGGGTCCTTTTCCCATTTGTATGATCTCTTTGGGATATAGCCCTAGAAGTGGTTGCTGGGTCAAAGGGTATGCACATTTTGATAGCCCTTTGGGCATAGTTCCAAATTGCTCTCCAGAATGGTTGGATCATTTCACAACTCCACCAACAATGCATTAGTGTTCCAATTTTCCCACATGTTCTCCAACATTTATCATTTTCCTGTTTTGTCACGTTGGCCAATCTGATAAGTGTGATGTGGTACCTCGGCATTGTTTTGATTTGCATTTCTGAAGACTTTCTAGATATTTTAACTTACTGTTGGTACCATAAGAGCATTTAGGCTGTCAGTCTGTTATCTTCCACTCTTTCTACACTGCTGACCCACCTCTCTTTCCAAATTTACATTTCTTTGACAATATTTTTATTTTATGCCCCCTTCCAAAAACAAAAATCTGTGAAATTTTCTTTTGAAATCTCTGATTGGCTCTGCTTGTTTAAACTGAATGCTGATGCATACCCAGTCCCTGTGATGCAATGAAATATTTTTTGTGCACGTTTCAGTTATTTTCAGTAGTCCCTTTCAGTTTAATAAATCAAGTTCCTTGTGTATTACCTCTGCTCATCATTCTGGTTCTGCCAGAGAAGAATGCTGTCAGCCTTACTTTGGATGACTCCTCTTATTTGGAGACTGAGACTTTTGTTCGACAGTAAGTGCCTCAGTTCCCCATGTCACATTTTCTAATCCCTGTCTACCTCAGTCCTGCCTCTGCTGTGTCCCATCCCCCTTTGTTCTTCTCATCCCTCTCTTAAGCCTTCTAGAATTCTCTCCATCCTTGTTTAATGGACTGTTCTTCATTTAACTCTTTTTCTCTTGCGCTCCTCCTGTGTTCTCTTTACAGAGACTTGGTAGCCCCTAGACAACACTGCATCCCAGACCATTGTCTTCGGCACTAGCTGTACTTCTTTTATTTCGCCCTAGCACGCTGGTTCTGGAAGGAGAGTTGGAATACTTCATGCTCCCCATGGCCACTTTTAGACTCTCACTTTGCCACATTAGTCATCAGTCTTTCCTCCTTTATGGTTCACTCTCTCGTCCCCATGTCACTCAGAATCCTTTGTCAAGCTATTCAGTGCCTGCTTCCCAGAGATAGAGAGCATGTCCTGATGTTCCCTCAAATAGCTTCAGCTCCAGATTCCTCAGGCTTCTTAAGTGCCATGACCTTCGTTCCACCTCAGCTACGCGGGGGATCCCTCGCAGCCTCCACCATCACTCACAGATATTCCACTTCTACCATCAAAACCTCTAGAGAAATGTTTAGGAGGTCATACCATCTCATCATTACATCTTTCCCTGTGCCCTGCCCCTCCTAACCCTATTCATCACCCTCATGAGAACTTCCAGATCCCTCCATCCGTTAGTGGCCTAGTCCATTGCCTCTGTTCTGATTTCAGTCTTTTTCCCCTTCTCAGTTTCTACCTTGTAGTTGACCATTTCAGCTCTGTACTGCCCTCTAATCTCAAATCCATTTCTTCTTGTCCTATCAGTGTTCACAGCCATGTCAAACTCCAGCCCTAGATTACTCTAGCCTTCTGTTGGGGGACATCACTCAACCGATCTGACTAGGTCCAGTACAGACTTATGTTACATAATCTCAAAGGGTCTTCTCAAAGGGTCTTCACCACAGCAAGTGAATGCTTTTACTCCGTCCCTAATTTATTCTCTCTTCCACTCAGCACAGAATCTATTCAGAGCTTCTCTCCTCAAGCCTTCTACACCACCACCTTGCCTTACCTTCTTAGCTGAAGACTTCACCTTACACTTTGCTGAGGAAATAAAGACCATTTGCCCTGGGCTCCTTCTCTGCTCTCTAGAGTTTAGACATCTCCTCTCTTCCCCTCCTTTCCTCCACTCTCTGAAGAGGTGGCCCTCCTCACCAAGGCTAACCCCAGGTGCCTTGATCCTCTCCCCTCCTGCATTCTCTAGCAGATTACCTCGATAAGATTCTTCTCTCTAATCTGAATTTCTTTATCTTCTGATTCCTTCTGTACTGCCCACAAATATGCCTGAGTCTTCCTTATATTTAAAAATATCCTCACCAGACTCTTTAGTCTCCTCAAGCTTTTATGCTGTGTCTCTTCTACCTTTTTAAGTCAAACTCATCAGAACAAACCTTACTCTCATTATCTTCTCCCCCAAACCCACCCTTTTTCCTATTTCTATCAAGGGCATCATGGTCCAGTTGTGTGTAGCCAGGTTTGAAACTTGTTGTGACTCCTTACTCTCCTTCAACCCACATATCTAGGCAGTTGCTGGCTCTTGTCATTTCTGCCTCCCAACATAACTCACATCTGTCGCCTTCTTTCTACTCACACGAGCACCACCCTGCTGGAAGCCTTCCTTATTCTCTCTCATCTGGACTGTTGAAGTAGCCTCCTGATGGGGCTCACTGCTTCCAGGCTCTCACCACTCTAATCTATCTTGCATACAGCTACCAAAGTTACTTTCCTAAAGGACAGATTTGAGATAGTGCTTCTCAGTAAGGGCAGCTAGGTGGCACGGTGGTTAGAGCACTGGGCCTGGAAAGGGAAGACTGATCTTCCTGATTTCAAATCTGGCCTCAGGCACTTACCAGCTGTGTGAGCCTAGGCAAGTCACTTCCCCCTGTTTGCCTTAGTTTCCTCTTCTGTACAAGGAGCTAGAGAACGAAATGGCAAAGCAGTCCAGTATCGATGCCAAGAAGATCTCCAGTGGGGTCACAATGATTTGGACAAGACTGAAAAACAACTAAACAGCAACTTCTCAGTAGAGTGCAGGGGCCTCTAAGTTCAAACATAAACTCACCCAGTTGGTTTTACTGCCTTTCACAACATGGCTTCACTTACCTTTCTAGCTCAGCGTCTGTGATTCCTCTTCCTGCCCTCTGTGGTTCAGTCACACTGGCCTTGCTGCTTCTTCCACACCATCTCTGTGCTCTTCACTGCCCATCCCTTGGAATGTCATTCACCTCCAGAGCCATATTCTGCATGAAGCCTTTTCTGATCTCCCCCCACTCCCTTATGTTTATTTTGTGTACGTGTTTCATTTTATATTTGTATGTGTCATCACCCCAGCAGAGCAGACGCTCTGGAGATCACTGGTTTATTTTTGTCTTTGTATCCCAAGTCCTTAGTGTCCGGTACATAGTGCTGCTTGCTTGTGTTTGTTGATGGATTAGATTAATCACAAAGTAGATTTTCTTAGAGTTTAAACAAAACCTGGAATATCAGTAAGTCAAACACTCTATTACCCTGTTATTCTGAATCATTAATGTTAGGACGACAAGGCATGTGTCAAATGATGCAAAAATTGTTATTATGATTTTACTTTGATATAAATTTTTCATTGTATATTTTCTTTGCTTTATAGATTTTTTTTAATGTACTGTGTCAGTTGATTGATTGCTTAAATTCTGTATCTTTTGGTATTAAAGATAATTTACAATCCTTTCTGTTCTCTAGAACTACTTTGAGAAACTGGAGAAACTCTCAGCAGCTGAGGATGTGCATGGAGATGGCCCCAAGAAAGAACGTACCAAGCTGATCACCCCCCAAGTGGCAAAGCTAGAGCACGCCTACAAGCCAGGTGAGTGAGGGCCTCGTCCCGTTCGTGTCTCGTGTCAGAGGCTGAGAGTGTTGGAGGGAGTGCAGGGCAAATGAGGCAGGAGTAATCCCGAAGGCGACATGGTAGCCCAACCTTAATGCAGCAAGCACATTTCCCATGATCCCTTAAAATAAAGAGGGAAGTATTTTCAGTTATTATTCCACTGTGTGTTCAAGTTTGCATAAGAGATTATTGGGAAATCTACTACTCGGAGTTTGGACATAAAGAATTATTTTTTTTCTCATAGTTTGATGAGAGAATAGCATGTCCTTGAAAAGCTGTCTGCCAACATTGTTGTGGTTGTTTTGTTTTTATTTTGTTTTTGCAGTGCAATTTGAGGGCTCTTTGGGAAAGCTTACTGTCTCTAGTGTGAATAATCCCCGGAAAATGATTGATGCTGTGGTAACATCCCGGAGTGAAGATGATGTAGGTGTTAGCAGAACTGTCTGCTTACAGGACTCTGGATTATCCCCTTTTCCTCTTCATGTCCTGCTTAGTGCCTTCGAGCAGTGGGGTGGAGAAAAGAGTTGTTACTTGTCTGACATCTGTCTGGTTCTTGAAAGTACATCATTATTTCTTTGCTTTTGTCTCTTTCTTGTTTCTTCTATGTCTCTGTGTCTTGATTTCTGTGTGTGTGTGTGTTTACGTATATACATACACACATATATTGTATATGTATTACATATGGATGCAGTTCCTCTCACCTACATAGAATGTTAATAAGTAAGTTTTATGTCCTTTGTTGTACACTCCTGGTTCAGTTGTCTGTATCTCTTTTCTGTGATATTGTCTACAGTAGCTTCTTCACTGTCAGCAGACAAAAGCTTCTTGTTCAGCTTAGTTTACACAACCCTTTTTCCACACTGCCTGTAGGTAGATATTCAGTATGTGCTTTGGGATGGCTGTGATAAGCGACATAGCACTGAGGCATCTGTCTTTTCTCAGGAGACCAAAGAGAAACAAGTTCGGGACAAGAGAAGAAAGACTCTCGTTACAATTGAGAAAGTAAGTCCTAATAGTTATACCTACATTCAGCCACTGGTAGAAAATTGCCAGACTCTTCTACACACGTACATATAGTTCTTCAGTACATGTTTATACACACACACACACACACATATACCTGCCTAATGTCGGAAAGTTTTCACGTGTTGGAATTACAAGAAAGGTTTAATAAATGGCCTATTGTCTGCGCTTCAGTCAGTTAGCAAACACTTCTTACTTGTTGCTTGCCAGACCTCTCTAGAAAGCATGGTGGTTTGAAGTTTTTAAGTACAATTCCAGAGTTTCCGTTTTAAAACGTAGGCAAAGTATAGACCTATTTTTGCTGCTTTTAGCCATCTGGAGAAAAGCTAAGTAGGGAGGAGATGGGACAGCACTGTGTTGAGGGAAGTTCCAAGTTAGTTCCAGATTTAAGAGAGCTCTGTAGTATCTTAGTCTACCTGCTAGGTTAATTTCAGTACTACTTAGTTTTTGCTTACTATCTCTCGTAGTTGAGAGGGGGCAGGGCTGATGGCATGCTGCCCTAACACAGGGGCCTCTGATTGTCCCACTTAGACATACAGTCTGCTCTTGGATGTGGAGGATTATGAAAGGCGCTATCTTCTAAGCCTGGAAGAGGAGCGGCAGGCACTGATGGAGGAGAGAAAGCAGAAGATATGTGGCATGTACGACAACCTGAGGGGAAAATTGCCTGGGCAAGAAAGGTAGGAGCTGTCTGGAGAGCATAAGATGAGGAGGGTCTTTCTTTTTTGCCTGCAGAATTATCCATCATCTGCCCCCACATAGAGTGCTTTTAGAACAGTTCTTTCTCCCAGATCATGGCGTACATTTAGCTGTGGTGGGCAAACCCCGCTCCTCCTTTGCAGTAAGCCTTTTCCAGAATTGGACTGATGAGAGCTCTCCCCCAAACCCCTCCAAATACCTGTAAAGAATGGCTCTAAACAAATTCTAAAGCACAGAATTGGACTGACCAAAGCACTTTTATGGCAGAGAAGCAGAAATGAAGAGGAAGAGACATCGAACATAGCAGGAGTGCTAAGACATCCTTGGCCAGTCTGATAACTCAGGAAAAATCAATTGTTTTTCTACCTTTCCCTTCAGGTTCAGGAATTGCCTAGTGGCGTAGACTCTTCGATGTACCTTTAAGTAGTATTGGACCTGAATAGTCCAGCTGTATATGAAGTGAGCCGGCTCCCTGTTTTTTCAGTGGGGATTTTTCCTGGAAAGGTGTTCATACAAATATACACTGGAAGGAATCGGGACATAAAGTTTGCCCTTGGATGTTTTGACAAAAAGAAAAAAAAATGAAATGGTTCAGCATGTTGGCCAAAAGCATTTCATGCTTGGAAAATTATCTTTCACCCTTTCTTTGAGGATAAGGGTTGGTTTTGACCATGGTGATGGTAAAAGAATCACAGCAAAGTAACCTTATGTGGGATATTCAGTTGGCAATTTTCTAAATGGAATAAATTAGGAGCTCCCTGTTGTTAACAGGATTTTACTGAGCCAGTATCTAACTTGGGAAGGATGAAACAGCAGGCCAGAGACAAAGTGCCAGTAATCGAGTAGATTTTGATTTAATTGGAAATTCTTTCTCTCTTTACAGGCCAAGTGATGACCACTTTATGCAAATCATGTGTATCCGTAAAGGGAAGAGAATGGTTGCCCGTATTCTCCCTTTCTTGTCCAAAGAGCAAGCAGCTGACATCCTCTTGGCAACAGCCAGGAACCTGCCCTTTCTGATCAAGAAGGACGCCCAAGATGAGGTAAATACTCCAGGAGAGACACCTTACCTGTAGACGTCTACTTCATAGTCATAACAGTTCTAGATTTTTAACTTTCCTTTTCTTTAAGGAAAGGGAACTCCTCTAGAAAGTGTGTTCTGGTCATTAAAACTGAAAACTTGTATGTTCCAGCCCTAGGTTTTTAATTGCTCAGGAGGTAGAGGAACAGGTCATATACACAAAAGGAAGCAGCTGGAATATTGCTGTGGATTTACAAAGTTGCTTATGTCCCATTTGGCATTTTCTTCATGATGTGCTTAGAGTGTAGCTTATATCTTCCTGTGGATTATTCTCAGTAAGCATTTATTAAATGTCACGCGCTGGGGATACAGATACAGAGATTAACACACCCCACTTGCAAGAAGCTTACATTCTAATTAGGGAGAAAACAAGCATGTATGTAAATATATAGCTATGACCCAGCATCAGTGCAGATGAATCAAGTAATGTCCCTGAAGCCCAGGCTGATATTTGTAAAACACTTTTTAAATGATCTAGGTAATGTTTGAATTCTTGTGCAGGGTTGCTAAAAATCTCATACAAAATTGGTAGTGGTTTCAGGAAATTCAGAACTGGATGAAGTTCAGTAGTACAAAGTGATGTCTTTAAAACAAAAGTAAGTTTCCTAAATACAAGATGGAGAAAATATGGGATGAGCACCTAAATAGCAGAAAGGAACTCTGAAGTTAATGGCAGACTATTTCAGTCTTAGTAGTAGGGAGCTGCTACTTGGAAAGATGTTAGGAGCAAGAGTAGAATACCACAGGATGCTCGATCTGGAAAGGGCCCTAGTGATCACTTTGCTCAAATCTTACTTTATAGTTAACTAAGGGTTCTAGAGATCAACTAATATGTTAAATTAATACATTGAGGGAAGAAATGAAAAGGAGCCAGAGAAAAGTATTAAAAAAATGATTTCAAGGAATGGAGAATATGTGTAAGAGGAGAGATTATATTTGAACTCTCTTGGGATGGTGAAAACACTGAAGGAATGGCTTTACTCTCTTAAAATATATAAAATTGTTATGAGAAAGGTACTGTCTAGTTATTTCCTTGAAGGACCAAGTAGAAAGAAATGGTTCTGAATTATAGAGGGAGAATTTGGAGAAGGTAAATTAATAAACTCATAGTTGTTGCCATCTCATTCACTAGATACATACCTTTGAAAACAGGGTAGATAATTATAATTGTATGTTATTCTGAAAAGGGGTCCAGTTGACTTCAGCCTGCTACCTAAGGGAGGGGGAGTTCAGGACCCCCAAAAGGCTAAGAACCCCTTGTCTCAGCAGTGATCAAAGGGTTGGATTCTTGTTTTGGCTTAGCAGTGAATTCACTTTATGAAGATAGGCAGGTCACTTTCTCGCTCTTCGTATCAGTTTCTCCGTAATACCACTTACCCCACAGAGTGATTAAGAGGATGAATGAGATAAAGTGAAAAGTACTCTGGAATCTGGCAATCTGGAAGTACACAGTGAAAGTTACAAAAAGAATTCCCCTGACAAAAATAGCTGTCCAAAGATTTTCATAGCAGCATTATATGTCATTGCAAGGGAAAAAACTGCAAGCAGCCTAAATGTTCCAGCAGTAGGGGAAGGATTAAACAAATTATGTTACATTAATGTAATGGAATCCTCTGATGTAACTAAGAGAAGGAGTGCAGAGAAATCTAGAAAGACCTTTATGAAATAATGAAAAGTGAAAAATATGATAGAAAGTGAATGAGAAGTAATGGGGAAAGAATATGGGAACATAAAGTGAGGTACTAGAAAACGTGTTGCACTTTTAAGTATTAATTACTAAGCAGTTTATATCAATGTGTTTAATGTTAAGTTTCTGATAAAATATTAAACATTTTAAATGATCTGTAAGTTCAAGATAATCTTATTTATTGCATATTCATAAAGATATTTTATACCTTTTAGGTGGTATGAAATTGCTAATAAAATGGACTTGGAGAAGTTGGGGTGCTTTAGCGCCCATTTTGAGGATAACATCAATTTTAGCCCCAGATGATTTGGAATTCTCTCGCTGTGATTTCTCCTCCTTTATTAAATCTTGTTTCATTGCGGGTACTATACAACATAATTCCCTTCTCTTCCCTACTTTGGCTGGAGGAAATATGCAGTGCTAATGTCTGAAGCTTTTGTCTTTCTTCCTTAGGTTTTACCTTGCTTATTGAGTCCCTTCTCCCTTCTCCTTTATCATCTTCCATCAATGACTGTCACCAGCCTTCTGCAACAGCTAATGAACCTACCTCAAAGTGCAGCTGCACCAGCACCCGCCAACCCACACCTCACTGCTGTGCTCCAGAACAAGGTGCTCCTTGTGCCCCTGAACTATGTACTACCCTGCATTCTCAACCTGAGCTCTGAGGGCTTGGCCTAAGGACCTTGGGAACGGGTGTTGCATGCTTCATGTATGTTACAGTTGCAGTTAAAAATCCAGACTTTTGGATAGACTGAGTGAAAATAGTAGTGTCTAATCCTACTCATCCTATTCCTCCCTGACAATTAGAATTGTCCGAGCAATTAAATAAACTGTGTGTCTGTTAATTCACATTCTTTTCTAATGCTGAGTGATAAGGATATTTTAAAGGCAACAAACTTTGGTTCTGAATTAGTTTAGGTAGGTTTAATATATACCATCTGTTCCCTTAGTTACTTTGGAAGGACATAGAAAATAGCAAATAGCAAATCCCAAAAGTTTTAAGTGCAGTTTTAAGCTATTAAAACTTAAAGACTTTTGGGACACCCTGTTTAAATATGAAAAAGGTCTAATTCTGGTTCTGACAAAAAAAATCCAGCCAACCCGGTGTTCTAGCTTTGACAGTACCGCCAAAGGGAATTTTGTGGGAAGGCATAGTTCCCCTGTCTGGTATCATATTCAAAAGGATAGAGATGTATATTCCAAAACATCCCTAGCTTCCTGTTATGACTTAATTATCTGTAAGTTAACCTGAGTCCTTCTACACTAAAAGATGAAAATCCAAGAATAAATAAGAGTTAATACATAAAGAACCTCCCTACTTCAGGTTGGCATGCCTAGCATCCTTCTGGGGGCAGAAGAGATTTGCCTAACTGTACATACCATGTGAATGAGCTTACTGTTTCCTCTTCATTGTGATGGAGACAAATTCAAGTTGGGAAGGAGTCTTGAGAAATAAATGGACACAGCCTCCACATAAAATGCACCTATTATCCTCTACAACATCCCCGATGAGGTGTCAGCTGGCCAGTGTGGACATCTCCAAAGACAGAAATCATACAGGATGGCTTTAACTGTTGAGAAGCTCTTCCTTGCACTGAACTGAAATCTGCTTTCTAATAACTTATACCCATCAGATAACGGAAGGGAAGCCACAAAAAGACAAACTGTGGTATAGACAAAGCAAGGAGAAAAAAAGTTGAGGCTTATTAATGAGAGGAGAGAAAAAGCAAGGAAGGCCCAGTAAAGCAGCTAAATTATCAAGGTAATGGAGGTAGCTTGTATGTGAGGATAGACTTTTAAAAAGTAAACTCTATAAAAATACACATGAACACTAAGAGAGGTATAATTGTAGCCACTACAGATCACAAAATTGAAGAGAAGTACAAACCAAGACCTAGTTACCAAATCCTGGGGTATTAGAAAGTAGATTTCATTTATTTCTCAAGACTCCTTCCCAACCTGAATTCATTTATGTCGCAATGAAGAGGAAACAGTAAGCTCATTTGCGCAGTTAGGCAAATCTCTTCTGTCCCCAGAAGGGTGCTAGTCATGCCAACCTGAAGTAAGGAGGTTCTTTATGTATTGACTCCTATTTACTCTTGGATTTTCATCTTTTAGTGTAGAAATAGTGAAGGGGCAGGTTAGTATGTGACTACCTGGAGTCTACCTGTAATGGACAGCCCTACATCATTCCCACCATCCAGCTCTTTCATTCCTATTTACATGCTGCTCAGTGGAGCTGGAAGTCACACAGCCTGCTGACTAGGTAGATTAAATTCATGTTATCCAACTTCAACTAGGCCCTGTCTGAAGTAAGGCAACCCACTTCTTCTTCTCTAGTCGATTCACTATCTTATTCACCAGAGAAACTTTTCCAAACTTCCCGTTCCCCAGTCTCTCTCAGCTAAGGATCTTGCCTCCTATTTCACTAAGAAAACTGAAGCCATTCAGTGGGAGTCCCTTCTTCTCCTTCTCTTCTTTTCAAAACCCCTCGACACTGTCCCCCAGTATCTAACACTCAAGTCCCATTTTCAGTCGTCCTGTCCTCTTCAGTCCTCAGTCTCTCCCTATCTACTGGATCCTTCCCCTGATGTCCAAGTAGCAGCTCGGTGGCTTAGTGGATAGAGTTCTGGACCTGGAGTCAGGAAGACCTGAGTTCAAATGCAGCCTCAGATACTTCCTAGCTGTGTAACCCTGGGCAAGTCATTTAATCTGTATTGGCCTTGATCCATTGGAGAAGGACATGGCAAACAATGCCAGTGTCCTTGCCAAGAAAACGCCATGGACAGTATGGTTCACAGGGTCATGACGAGTCAGACATCAATGACCATCCCTTTAAGCTACAGTGCTATATCTGTACCTTTGACCTCTTCAGCCAAACACTTAGGAGAGATTGTCTCTGGTCCTCTGCTTCCTCTCCTCCTCAATGTTTGACACTCTGACTTCTGACCTCATCACCTGACTGAAACTCCTCTCTCTAAAGCAACCAGTATGTCTTAACTGCCAAATAGGATTCCTCATTTGTGATTCAGATATGGTTCCTCGTCCTTTCTGCCTTAAACACTCTTAAGCCACTCTCTTCTCTCTGGGCTATTGTGACACTTCTCTGTCCTGGTTCTCCTCCTTTCCTGTCTGGCTTCTTTGTCCTCCAAGCCCATCCCCTCCTGACTGTCTCTGTCACTCATAGGCGCCCCCTGCTCTTTTCTCTCCCTGTGCTCCCTCAGGGACCTTGCCAGTTCACATGGGTTTACTTAGGATCACTCTTAGAGCTCTCTATGCTGTCCCTGTCTCCTCCCTTCCCTCCCGCTCTGCTTCATCGCGCTGCCATTTTGCTATTGGACATTTCAAACTGGATATCCTGGAGACATCCCAAGCTCGATGTGCCCCAAACCACCAACCAGTTACCTTCCTGCCACATTTCCTGTTTCTGCTGAAGGCACTGTCGTGCTGCTGGTCTCCCAGGTTCCTAGCCAGTGTTAGTGTTGACTCCCCCACTCTCTCTAATCAGTTGCCAAATCTCCATTTCTACCTCTACATGGCTCCCAAGCTCTTCTCTCACCTCACACAGCTGCCACCTTTGTTTAGGCTCTCTCTTGTCTCATCTGGATTATTGCAGTGACTTCCTAATTTGTCTCCCTGCTCAAGGCTCTCCCCACTGCGGTACATCCTCAACATTGCTCTGAAGTTGATATTTGTAAAGCTCAAAAGCTCACCACCCTTCTAAATAAGTTCTAGTGACCCGATTGCCTCCAGGATAAAACAGAAATCCCTCCATTTAGCTTTTAAAGCCCTTCACAGTCTGGCCTCAGTCTTTGCTGTAGATCACTCCCCCTCTGGTATTTTGTGATCCAGTCAAACAGAAGGTCGCACCTCTGTATCTTGGCACAGGCTGTCCCCCCAGCCCTCCTCATCTCGGCCTCACAAAATCTCTCGAAAAGACATGGCTCAGGCACCACCTTTTTCATGGAACCTTGGCTGAGCTCCTCAGCTGCTCGTGCCCACCCACCCCAGCTACTTTGTATTAGAGTGTATTCAGTCTCTTTGTGTTTATAGACTTGGGCCTGGCCTTGGTTTTCTCCCCTGGCAGACTGTCAGCTCCCTCTGGGTAGGGGTTGTTTCCTTCTCTCTCCTTGTATCCCTAGCACATTGTACAATGCCTGGCACACGGTAGGTTTGCTTGCTTGCCTTGCCCAGCTGACAGATCGATGCCTTCTTTCTCTGTGCAGTTTGGCCTATCATTGCTGTATCTGGTCCTGAGCCGAGGAGAAGAGCTGCAGAGTTCAGAGCCGTCTACAGAGTTAATGCAGGACACCCAGTGGTGAGTCAGGCCAGCGTTGTCTCCTTCCAGACGGGCCCCACGGGGAAAGGGCTGTGTCACTTCAGTGGTGTGGTAGTGCTAGTGCCCAGGATCTGGCCCTCTGTAGGCACTTGATAAATCCTGACCAAGGGCTTCCTTGATCTTTCTCACATGGGTTTTGTGGCTTTTCTCTCTCAGGACAGAGTTGATGTTCATGGCCACGAGAGAACTCCTGCGGATTCCCCAAGCGACCCTGGCTAAGCCTGTCTCTACACCTGCAAACCTAGCATCCCTCTTTTCTCGATATGTTGACCGACAGAAACTGAACCTGCTTGAGACAAAATTGCAGTAAGTTATGCTGGCCCCAAGTCTTGTATACAGGAGAAGGGGATGAATTAAGGAGGAAGGAAGAGACTGAAAAAATTGGTGTCCCAACAGAGAGTGATGTTGAATTAAAGATGAAGACAGAGAGAAAAGGGATTCTGGGGGTGTGGGGCATTTGGCGTGACGAGAATTGTTGTGCAGCTAGCACCATGGAGAAAGCACTGGGCCTGCAGTCAGGAAGACCTGAGTTCAAATACAGCCCAAGACACCTCCTAGCTATGTGACCTTGTGCAAGTCACTTAACCTGTGTCGCCTCAGTTTGTTCAACTGTAAAATGAAGATAACACCTACTTCACAGGGTTGTGGTGAGGATCAAATGAAATAATTTAAGCCCTTAGCACAGTGCCTGGCATTTCATAAATGGTTGTTCCCCTCCCCTTGCACAAGTATCCTTGCTCTGTGTAACCGATGACTTCCGTCTGGGTTTATTTTCCTGACATTCTCTCTTTTTCTTGAGGTTGGTTCAGGGGATCCGGTAGAAGAGCTCTGGAGGCACCTGTGTCTCCACGGGGCCGCTATCTGCACTGCTGCCATCACCAATGGAGTGTTTTCAGTGGGGGAGGGAAGGTGGCTCCTTCCCCAAAGCAAAGCCTCGTGGGATTGTTTCTCATCGATAACTGGTATTTGGAGACAGCCCCAATCTCCTGCCTCCTCCTCTCCGCTCGGGAAACTTGGCTGGCTATGACTTCTGCTGGTTCCTGCTCCTCACTGCTAGGTCACAATTCTGCATGCCCTGCCCTGCCCTGCCCTGCCCCTAGTTCTTTGTCATTTCACTGGGTTTTGTTGTTGCTGTTGTTGTTGTGGCTACAGAGTCACAGATGTCATCTCTTTCGTCTGATGTTTTCCCATCATTCATGCTGCAAGTAAATTATAGCCCACCAAACATGTTCCTCCCCCTGCCCTGTTTGATGCTCTCCAGTTCTTTGCCCCGTATTAACAAGACTCTAGGAGGGAACATTAGATAGAAATCCTGATAGTTGTGTTGTCTCCAGAGTTCCCGAGGAGTGATGTGATGGCTTGGAAAGAACCCCTTTCACTGGGCTGTCAACCAGCTCTGTCTAACTAACAGCCCGTGCCAGCTGGAATGTGGGGAATGTGTCTGTCTGCTGCAGCCCCAAATCTAACTTGCCGATTGCCCTTTGTGCTAGCGTATACAAATATGGGTATGCAACCCCAAGATAAATCACTGAGCAATGCCCTATCTCATTAGGCGCCCAGCTCTGCTCAGAAATCCTTATTCGTCTCGTCATTGCTCCTTCTGCTTCGGTTTTCATCTCCTCGCTGTGGAAACAGCACGTGCTTAGCTCTTTCCCTCCTCACTGAAACCAGAAGAGATGAGTTCATGCTTTCTGTCCCCTTCCTTGAGAGACTGCACAGGGTAACTGATTCTCTCCCATAGTCTGCATTAGCAGTGTAGGAACTTAACTGCACATCTTTGCACGCTTACTTACCCTGTCTTCCCAGGAATGTTTTAGAAAGCTCTCTTGTGGCTCTTTTCTAACCCTTTTTCATTTGGTCCTTAATGGGTAGAGGCCTCCAACGGTAACCATGGATTCTGAGTTTGACATGGTCCTCCTTTCTCTCCCCATCCCCCACCTCCCACCTATAAGTAGAGCTGCTGTCCCTGCTCCGTTTCACTCAAGTCCCATTTCCCAGATAACTGTGGGGCCTGGGTTTGAAACCCAGCCGGAACAGCCCCTTGTATTGCCCCTATTTCCTTAACAAAATTAACCAGGGGGCCTGGGTTTTATCCCCAGCAGGTACAGCTCCCAGGACAATTTAATCTGATGAATTTTCATGATCATCCTATACTGTTTCCTGCTGTTCGCACCTTTTAGAATGTGGTGGAGAGGAGAGGTTCTTTTATTTAAGAAGATGAACATTTTGCACATCTATATCTTATACAACCAGTGAAATCCTCCGTTATAACCAGCCTCTCTTGGTTCACCATCTCTTCCCCTTATCCAGCTCCAGTTTCTTTCCCAACCATTCCTTCTCCCACTAACATCAGTTTTTCTCCCAACCATCACTTACTGAATATTTCTACCTGTGCGCCTTCTTCCTCCCCCCTCCCTCCCTCCCACGCCCCAAGCCGATAAAGTGGATATTTCATTCTTTTTTCCTTCCTGTGCTTTTACTTTTTTTGTTTGGTTCTGATTAATGAAAATAAAAGTTTCTAAATTTACATTTTTATAGGGTATTGTAAATAAAAACAAATTGTATACTTGAGAATTATCCATGAGTTTCTTTGTTTCTAAATGTGTATTTCTAAGGTGTCTGTCACATTTAGTGACTCTAGCCACCACCTTTAAACGGGTAGTCAATGGAAATATCTAGTAATGATAACAGCATTTATATAGTGCCTGCTACGTGCCAGGCACTGTGCTAAGTGCCTTATAAATACCTCATTTGACCTTCATAACAGCCTTGGGAAATATACATTATTACCTCCGTGTTATGGTTGGGGAAACTGAAGCAAACAGAGATTAAATGGCTTGCCCAAGGTCACATAGCTAGCGTCTGAGGCTGCATTTGAATTCAGATCTTCCTGACTGGAGGCCTAGCACTCATCTACTTTCCCACCTAGCTACCTAGTATCTTTCCCCTTTTTGTTCAATGTGAAGGGAGAAAAACAAATAAGTTGTGTAGATAACTTTGAGAGATGTGTAATGACTACAAGGGCTGGCCTCACCAGCCCCAGAGTCAAGAAGACCTGAGTCCATGTCCCACATTAGCATGTGCCAACTTGTGTGACCCCGGACAGGTCATGTAAACTTTCAGCGGCCTTTCTAAGACTCCAAATTACAGAGTGGTTGCCAACAACAGTGGTGGAAAGGAGTTCCCTTACACAAAACACAGGTCCAGATTCCCACCCCTTTCCTCCCCAAATATGGATTATTTATATTTTTTTAATATGGATTATTTCTTTAAAATATTCTGGATATCTTATAATGCCTTTGTGCAAAATAGAATCCTGGCTCTGAACAGAACTTCAAGTCAATTTTATCTGTCCTTTTTTGTGTCCCGGAGGATATTAATAATTCCTTTTTAAAAGTTCTTTAGAAAAAGTAAGTCTGTATTACACATTGGAGGGTTTAGCAGCTCTTGTTTTGGATAAATGTGCCCAAACCTTTTACTTCAATTCTCTTATAGCAGCTCCCCAAAAGAGACTGGGGAAAGCTGCTCGGCCTCCATTAAGGCTAATAGCATACACTGTTAGCCCGTTTACCGTTTTCTGACGCATATCCTACCTCTGATTATGACCGACTTTATATGTAGTACGAAAAGACCTGAGTTTCAATTCTGGCCTCATTGCTAACAACCTGTACGACCATAAACAAGTCGCTCGTATGGTACAGTGTAAAGAGCACTAAGTTTAGATCCCCAAGACCCAAATTCAAATCCAACCTTTACTTCCTCCCTGTATGAACCTGAACCAATCACTTTATTTCTTTTTTCTTTTCAGTGAGGCAGTCAAAATTAAGTGACTTGCCCAGGGTCACACAGCTAGTGTCAAGTCTCTGAGGCTGGATTTGAACTCAGGTCCTCCTGACTCCAAGGCCAGAGCTTTATCCGCTGCATCACCTAGCTGCCCTCACTTTATTTCTTTAGGCCTCAGTTTCCTTATGTATAAAATGAAGAGAAATCTGCAGGTCTTTCTAACCCTTGAGTCTGGCTCTATGACTAGACCCTTCCCAAGCCCCTAACTTCAGCAAACATTAAGTGTCAATTATATGTATGAAACTTTAGGAACTGAATATCCATGCATACAGAGGGATAAAGAACGGCAGCAGTCTTCACATTCTCCCTTTAGTGTCTGGCTAAGGCTTAGTGATTGACGGGGCCAACATCTCAAAAGTCTGAAACTTCAAACAGCAGCACTCCATTTGGACAACACTTAGAGGTTTCTTGATCCTTTTTAACTACCACTGCTCTGAATCCCCCTCTGGATGTCACTTCCCATATGCAGGGACGTGAGGATGGGTAAAGCAGGAGAGACACTGTCAACCAGGGCTCATGGCCCAGAAAGTAACCTGGCTAAATGGATGCTCAATTCTCCCTTTGAAACCTTTGGTAGTAACCTCAGTAATCCTAATAAGGATGTAGTCTGAGTCTGAGAAAACCGAAGCCAGTTTTCCATTGAAACTGAACATTTAACCAGGCTCTTAAATAGGGGGGCTGACTCTTAGATCCAAAGCACATGCATGGAGTCCTGCCCAAGGCTATTTGGAGGACCCTTTTATCTTGGGTCATGCTTCTGTTCAGTCATGAAATCAGTTACTCTCTAGATAAATCCCATTTCCACTTTTCCTCATAGGTCCTAACTTTTCATCTTTTTCATCTGTTGTTTTCTGAATCATTTCTGTTTCTTTTTATTTATTTATTTATTCATTCATTCATTTATTTGTTTGTTTGTTTATTTTTTGCTCTTTTTGGTGAGGCAAATGGGGTTAAGTGATTTGCCCAGCGTCACACAGCTAGTAAGTATCAAGTGTCTGAGGCTGGATTTGAACTCGGGTCCTCCTGACTCCAATGCCAGAGCTCTATCCACTGTGCCACCTAGCTGCCCCTATTTCCATGTTTTTAAATTATATCAATCTAAACTGCTCATAATATTCCAGTTAGTAATGTGGCTGGTTACTAGAATTAGAGACTGGGTGAAATTAACTTGTGATCTTTGTGCTCCGGCAGAGAGAGTAAGTATTTATTTAGTTAATACTTAGAGGTGCCCAAACCTGAGTCAGAGGGGCACTTGTGGTAGTGCTGCCCGCAAAGCATGGCAATCTCATGTCTACACAGCATCAGTTAATCCATTCATTCAGCTATAAGCCCACTCACATGTAATTATATAGATATGTAAAAAGCAGTTCTATATATAAGATCACAGACCTTAGAAAGGACTTTAGAGGCAAGTCATCTAGCTCAACCTTGACCTGCCCAGAAATCCCTTCTATGTCCCTCCACTCCCATTCCCTACCATTTCACCGTCACACATAGTACTAAAGGCTAGGAAATTTTTCCTTTCATTACACTTGAATTCACCTCTTAGCACCTTCTACCTATCCCAACCAGCAAAATCTGTTACTTTACACCACTTAGAAGCCCCAAAATAGGTAGATTATGAAGAACATTGATTCTTATTTGTAGCTTTCTGTTCTGAGATGATCAGAATCTTTCTGATTCTTCCCTCGCCCTCACCCCCATATCTAGTCATATGCCAAATCTCATCTATTCTACTTACTCAACATCTTTTGCATCTGTCCCCTTCTTTCTACTCACACCACAACCACTCTTGTCAAGGCCTTCATCACCTCTCTCCTAGACTTTTGTACTAGCTGCCAAATAGATCTCCCAGCTTCCAGTCTCTGACCTTTCTGCTTCTTCCTCCACACAGCTGCCAAATTGACATTCCCAAAGTTCTCTAATTGTATCACTCTTCCGCCCAAAAAGCTTCAATGGCTCCCTATTGCATTGAGGATAAAATACAAACCCCTTTGCTTAGCATTTAAAATCAGGTTAACTACACGTGCCCTCCCCTC